GAATCAAGTACAATTAAATGTTTTAATTTTGTGTAATTAAAATTTCATAACAAAATTTATGATCATCTACATTGCCAAAGACCTATCTATCTATTGAGACAAAGTATGTAAAGCTGTTTAAAATGATGCTATCCTAAAGGTGGCATTGGTTATCTAGGTAAGAAATTAATGTGATTTTAAAATTCCCATCTTTGTATTTTTATGCGTTGTTTAAATTAATTTTTTGGTCATGATAATTTTTACAAAATTGAATAACTTTTTCTTGGAAAGTTTTATAATAACCATGGTCTTAATAAGAATTAATTCTAGGTTATGAGAATATTTATATAGTTATTTTATTTTTATACTTATCTATGTTTTTAAAATTCCTCACCCCACCCCATTTTTAAAAGTTTAAGACTATAATTTCTCATTTGAGTAAACATTTAGTAGCATTCCATAAAATCAGGTGTAAGATTTTGGCCCAAAAATTATTAAAGAGAGAATTTTTTAAATTTCCAAATTGTTGGGCTTAAATAATTTTAAAATTGGTTTATTATTCCAGTTTTATTACATAATAAGAGAATATAATATGTCAGATTTCTAGTTTTTAGAACTTATAAGGTTTTCTTGGTGGCCTATTTATAATAAATTTGACCAATATTCCACAAAAACTGGAATAGTGTCACTATAAGAAATGAAGTTTGATTCATACTTATATAATAAGTCTTACTAATAATATAATAGATTCTTTATATTCTTATTTATTTTTTACCTCTTTGACTTATCAAATACTTTTTTAAAAAAACATTTTAATACTTCACACTATATAGAAAAATGAACTCAAAATGAATCAAAAATTAAATAGATATATATGCAAGAGTTAAAACCATAAAATATAAATGTCTATCTTTATGACCTTGAATTAAGCAATGATTTCTGAGATATGACTCCAAAAGCAAAAGCAACAAAAGAAGAAATTAGAAAAACTGTACTTCATCAAAATTTAAAACTTTCGTGCTTCAAAGGACACCATTAGTACAGTAAAAGGATAACCCACGAAATAGGAGAAAATATTTGCAAATTATTATTAGACAATGGATTGTATTTAGAATATATAAAGAACTCTTATGACTCAGTAATAACCTAATTTAAAAATGTCAAAGGTTCTAAGTAGATATTTCTCCAAACTAGATATGCAAATGGCCAATAAACACATGTAAAGATGCTCAATACCATTTTAGCCATCAGGAAAATGCATTTCAAAACCACAGTGAGCTACCATTTCACACCCACAAGAATAAAACCAAAAATAAAAACCCAAAAGAATAACAAATATTGGCAAAGATGTGGAGCAACTGGAACCCTCATTCACTGTTTGTGGGAATGTAAAATGGTGCAGCCAGTGGAGAAAAGAGTATGGCGATTCTTCAAAAGGATCAACATAGAGTTATCATATGACCTAGCAATTCTATGCCTAGGTATATACCCAAGAGAATTGAAAACATACGTTCACACAAAAACTTACATACAAATATTCAAAGTTGCAATAGTCGAAAAGTAAAAACAACCCAAATGTCCATCAAATGATGAATGGATAGATAAAATGTGGTATGTCCATATACAGGAATATTATTCTGCAATAAAAAAATGAAGTATTGATACATGCCATAACATGAATGAAACTTGACATTATGCTAAGTGAAAGACGCCAATGACAGAAGGCCACATATTGCATGAAATTTAAATGAAATTTCCAGAAGAGGCAAAGCTATGAGAGACAGAAAGGAAATTAGAGGTTGCCTAGCCCTGAGGTTAGGAGAGAAATAGGAATGACTGCTAATAGGCATGAGGTTTCTTTTCAGGGTAATGAAAATGTTCTAAAATGGATTGTTTTAATGGTTACACAATTCTGTAAACCTACTAAAAACCACAGAATTGTATACTTTAAACAGGTGAATTGTAAGGGATATGTAGGAGGTTGAATAATGGTCCTCAAAAATATCAGGTCTTAATCCTTGGAACCTGTAAATATTACCTTATATGAGAAAAGAGCCTTTGTAGCTGTGATTAAGTTAACGTATTTGCGATGAGGAAATTATCCTGAATTATCTGTGTGGGCTCTAAATGCAATCACATGTATCCTTATAAGACAAAGGCAGAAGTAGACTTGACAGGTAGAAGAAGAGGAGGCAACGTGATCACAGAAGCACAGACTCATGATGTAGACACAAGTCAAGGAATACAAGCGGCCACCAAAAGCTAGAAGAGGTAGTTCTCCACTATACCCTCCACAGTTGAGTGCAGCCCTGCCAAAACCTTGATTTTGGCCCAGCGGTAATAATTTTGAGCTTCTGGCCCCCAGAATTGTGAGATAATAAATTTCTGTTTTTTTAAGTCACCAAATTTTTTTATATATTCCATTATAATGTTCTATAAACTCATTAAGCTTAAAAGTGTCCTATCATCTTTAATAATTTTAAATTTTATAAATGTAAAACTTTAACATTTACAAACATAAAAATAGTCTTGGTTGCATTAAATTATTTTTAATCTTGAAATCTCAATATTGTTTGTTCGATTGCTTATTTTCATTATCAGATATTTCTTTAACAATTCTCATAAGTTAATCTTTTTTGTCATTTTAGGTGTTTTGCTTATAAAGTGGAAATTGCATTTTTTTATTTATCAAAAATCACCAATCATAAGATAGACTATTGATTTAACAACAGATTATAGGAGTTGGAGAAGAGAAAAATATTATTTCATTAAATGTATACATTGATTATAAGATGCATATTTAAAAAAAACACTTGATTGAGGTATGATTGACATGTAAAAGTGACACATACATATTTAATATACATAATTAAATGAGTTTAGGGTAAGTATACACCCATGAAATCATCATCACCAAGGCCATATAAACATCTCCATCACCTGTAAGATGCATTTTGATTTCAGAAGTGCAAAAAGAAAACTATTCATCTTAGAAATGAGGAAATAGGAAATATGAAGAGGTCTCCAATCACATGAAGGAATAGGCAAAGTTGCATTTTAACATGACATTGCTAGAAAAGACCTCTCTTTGCAAACTTAGAAGACCTGGAAGTTAATTTTTACAACATTATTCTAATAATAGTTCTCTTAATTAAAAAAAATTTACTCCAATGATGTTATTTTGGCAATTTATGGATAAAATAGGGACTCTGGAATAAATCTATTTTCAACTGAAAAGGGGCAAAAAGTCACACTATGATTAATCTTTTCATTTCAGTCTGTCAAATTAAATTGCCTTTCTCAAGAAATATAAAAAGACAATGAAGGGTGACAGCTTTGTCAACTTTGTCAACAGCAGGCAAGGTAACAAGAGACCAAATGGAACTAGGACTTTTTCGCCACTTCTAATTTATCTGGGAAAGATTAAAAAAATTTTACTGAAAATTGTGATGTGCTATTTGCAGCTGAGTTTTTTAAAGTAAAGGAAAGCCTCCTTTCCATCTTTCCAATTTTGATTTAACTGATACCAAAGAATAATTCATGCATTAAAATATACACATTCTTGAGGAAATTCATCATAGAGAATACTCTTCTTTTTGGAAAAACTGAATTTACATGGGCACTAAAAAATTTCAGTCATTCAAATTTTGTAAAATGTTCTACTTTCACTTCCCATCGGGAAGAAGGAAAGTGATGTAGAGGAAATTTCATTTGGAATATTAGTTACTTTTAAAAGAAAGGTTTGTTAATAGAGTGGTATATTTATTGGGCTAGTCATATTAGGGGGAAAGTGAAGTTAGATTCTCACTTCATTATTTATCAAAATAAGTTTCAAATTAATTAAAAAATAAAAAGAGCTAGAAAAAAATGGATGGATATTTAGTTGAGTTTGGAAAGAACAGAACTGCCTAAGCATTTGAGCGATGGAAAAGACCTCAATAAATTTCCTTACATAAAAATTAACAAAAATTTCTGTAAGTTAGAAAATACTTAAGTTAGAAAACAGCTTTTAAAATTTTAAAACAATTGAGAAACTTTGAAAAATATTGGCTTGTTAAGTTAGATTTAGATACGAAGGTGGTTCAGAGTATGGGCTCTGGATCGCAAAGGAGATATAAAACAACTTTGGCCATTAGTTTGGCCCTGTGACTAATGAATACCAAATAGACAAATACAGAATCTAAGAAAACACAGAACATAACTAAGACAGGATTGCCAATTCTTATCTGTATGGTAATCATTTCAAGAAAGGTTTCAGAAATCCTTCATACAGAGAACCTTGAAATTGTATATAGTACCTAGTCATCACCTTCAGTGGAGCAAGGTTGTAGGAGAGCAAGAGAAAGTTACTTTGACTCAGACTCAGAGAAAAACAAAGGAAATTAGAAGAAAGACATGAAAAAATATAAAAGCAGACTATAGAAGACTTAGGATTCTGGTACCATTAATTGCTTCTTTTGCTTATTCCATTATAATAGAATCATATTTTCTCAGATGTAGACTTTGAAACCAAACTGACTAAATACAAATTTCCCCAGCTCGACTAACTATGAGACCTTGTGCAAGTTACTTAACCTTTCTAAATCTCACTGTGTTCATCTATAAAGAAAGGAATAAGGACTGCTGAGAGGATTACCTAAGTTAATATATGGATAGCTTAGGACAGTGCCTGGCCCAAGGCTAAGTTTTAAATCTCATTATTATCTGGATAACCAGATTTCACTAAATACAAGAGCTGATTTTTCTTGATCTTACCTGAAGGTGTCAGTAGAAGTTTTTTACACTTTCACATCATGAGTACCACTGACTAAAAAAAATTGTGAGATGCCTTTGTTTATAAGATGCAACCTAATTTCAGAGGCATTAAATTATTTTAAAGTATGCATCTTAGAACTGATAAAATAAGTTATTATGCTTTCATTTATTTTAATTCTAAGTTAATGTAGACATGACATTTACCAAAAGACAATTGAAACTGGCAAAATAATTTGATTCGAATAATGGGTAAAGTAACTTCTTACTTCTGTAAATTCCATTTTGTTCAATCTTGGTTCCATTGAGTCAGCAATATTCAATTGTTTGCAACATGCTTCTAATTGTGGAATAAAAGTTAATTGCTAGTTAGTTTGGTTATAATACATTCATATTTTATATTCACATTATAGTGCTTTAAGGAAGAACATAAAAGTATTTCTTAATTAATGTCCATCAATATTTACAATAAAGTAAATGATATATAGTGCGGTAACATTCCAATTACTACAAAATTATTATTTTTCCGGGTTTTTATTTAACTAAGCAACCCAAACACTGAAAACAATGTGCCTCCCTTTTTAATGACCAGGTTTAGATAAAGCAAAAACAAGCATGCACATCAATAGTATAAAAGACCGTTAAAACCTCTGTGTTGGTTATGATTGTATTTATGCTAGCAGGTTCTAAAACACAACACTTATACAAACTTTCTCTTAAGTGTTTTATTTTGTCTTTTAATGTTTCTTAAATTAAATAAACAATATATGAATATGTTCTTTTAGTAAAAGATTCAAATAATGCAAAAATATAAGCAGAAAAACATGAATATCTACCTTTTCCTTTATCCTCCACCAGTACTCACTCTAACCCAGAAGAAATCTCTGTCAATAGTTTATTGTCACCCTTCCAGCAACCTTCATTTTCTATACACACATACACTTTTGTTTTTCTACATATAAATATGATCATATTTGTTGGCAACTTGCTTTTTTCACTTAACCAGTCATCTTGTAGATCTTTTTAAATAGGATCCGGAACTCAGGGAGAAGGTTTGGGATGGGACTATGGCTGAGAGTCATCAGCTGAAATCATGGGTTTGAAAAGGAAAATCCAGGGAATGAGTAGTGTGTAAAATGATAATAGAGCCAAAATGAAACTCTGGAAAACAACATTTAAGGTGCAAAAAAAAGAAGAATCAAGAAATAAAAATGCTAAAAAGTGATCAAGATAGAAGGAAAAATCAAGAGAGAAAGAGATCATAAAAACAAAGAAAAAAGTTCCATGAACAACAGAATAATAATTAATGGTAAATGTAGCGGTTAGTTGGAATAAAGATTTTTTAAACTTCCATTTAATATGACAATTATGTGATCCTTATTGACCTTATCAAGATACAAACACACAAAATTATATGAGAATTCAAGATGAAAGAACTAATACATTGGCTTCCTCTCCTACTTCTAACAGTAACTCCTGCTAATCATGGGCTAGTACATAAAAAGATTCTTCAGTCACTCTTGATTTTTTTAACTCCTTATTATAAGATATCAATTTCTGTCACAAGAGGATTGTATAAACTTTAGTATAAGCTTATGCATTAAACGCTGTTATCCCCATCCCAGATCTTGCCCCCAAATTCTGGAAGATTATGCAAGCCAGACTGGTTTCTACCAGTAACAGTTGTTATTAGGTATATGTGTCTGTTCCCTGGCTGGACTTTAAGCAATTTAAGGTCAGGAAATATTTTTTAGTCCTCTTTGCACCCTCTACTCCATCACAGTATCTGGAATATAGTAAAGGCTCAAAAAATATTGAATGAATAAATGGTACAGAAAATAAATACTATACAGTATAGGAGGAGAGGAGAAACGGTCACTGTAAACTGGAGTAGTCTAAATTTCTCAATTTTATCACAGTCTTAAATAGAGCTCTCTTAATTCATTCCCCCATCAACAACTAAATAAGTAAAATAAGTTATTTCAAGGATTTTCTGAAAGGGAAATTGAGGTTGTGCTGACTGTGAAGAAAATTATAGTGTTTGGACAGGATGAAAAGGAAGAAAGAGAAAAAAAAAATGTTGTCATCAAGGTCCAAGCCATGTTTGAGGACCAGTGATCTAGAAAGCATATTTCATTTTTAAAAGTGAGAACAGACTTTAGACAATATATTATTATCAGTGTAATGAAGTGGTCAAAAATCAATTGAATAAAAATCAATTGGATATAAATTATGTAAATCTCAGGACCCCAACTCTAGTTCTCAATTCAACAAGTCAGATTTTTATTTTTACTTTTTTTTTTTTTTTGCTTAATCTCATATAAGGAAACATTTCTGAAAATAAAAGCATCAAAATCTGTGGCTATCCATTGGTGTGGTACTTACTATCACCCTCCTTCCCAGTGAGCATGGAGGGAATTTGCAGGTGAGTTTTTGTCATCATAATGATGGGGAGAAGATTAGGGACAGAACTCTTACAACTCCTGCATAATAAAAACTTTCCCCTTTCTGCCAGATATTCAAATAGGTGGAAAAAAAACCCTGCTTATAATAATTCCGAGTCTAGAATCTATCTGTATTTTAAATATAAACACAGAATATATTTTTGCTGTTGAATTTTTGAAAAATGTAACCACTATAAAACTTTGAGAGAAGATTGTACTTTGCTTCATTCTGGAAATTTACCAAAATTTGTTCACCATTTCAGGAAATTAAATAATGAGAGATAATATCATAAATTGTATCTAAACTCCAATACAACACATCAGTGTCAGTCTGCATTTTAGCTCTCCTATTCATGGGGATTCTACATATATATACAAATCCATTTATTTGCTCTTATTTCAAAATGCCAAATACAAAAAAAATGGTCGAGTGGATATAATTTTACTTTTTAAATATCTAAACATTCAATATAAGTCGGTATAAATTTCTGACTACTCCATTAAGTCTTATAGTGAAGTTATAACCAAGCATCTATATATTGAAATATAGAACATATAATTTTCTTACATCTTTCCTTGAATTTCTCCTTTATATTACAAAGATATGACATTACATCTTTCTTTTAAAATTCTATGTATGTAAGTAATATTTTCTAGGAATTTCATTGAATAATAAAGGGGTATTATAGAATATTTGTAATAAAGTGGGTTACTAGATTAAAAATCACTGATTGCGTCTCTGCTTTTCTACATTCTTCATCTGGAAAGAGCAAAAGAGCTTAAGTACATCTGTAGAGCTTTAAATAACACTTGTCTCAATACTGATTCATCTTAATTCAGCATCACCCCCCCACACACACACCTAAATAAAAGAGAGAAAAATGTAAATACTATAGTAATAGGTATGCTTACCAAGCTGGAAATCTGGATTTTGAAAAAAATCAAAAAGAACATTCTGAATCTACAAATCAAAGAGATCATGTATTACTTTTCAATAACCATATATTTAGTATTTTAGACAAAAAGCCATCTATATTCATTTTAAGTCCTGAGTAATCCTTCTAACCCAGGGACAGAAATAGTAATAATTAACTATTAATAAATAGTTATTATTTATTATTTAAATAATAAAATAATAATAATTTAGGTCATAGAATACTTCAAGGTATATAAAATGCTTTCATGTATGTCCTCAATGATTATCAACCTTTTTGTATAAAAACTAGAATGCTGAGAGCGATCCTGTTTTGTCCCCTCCAGGGACATTTCTATCAATCCTTAGACATAGGCATGATGGAACTAAGGTCCCTTTGGCAACCAACATGGTAATCCAAAGAATCCTCTATAACTCCTCATTTTTCAATCACAAAAAAAAAAAAAAAGGAAATTTCAGAGTTCTTCTTGGTCCATTTAAAAGAAAATAGACTTCATTTTTTAGAGCGGTTACTGGCTTTATAGGCATTGGTTTATTTCTGGGCTCTCTATTCTGTTCCATTGAACTGTGTTTGTTTTTATGCCAGTACCATGCTGTCTTGATTACTATAGCCTTGTAATGTAGTTTGACATCAAGTGGTGTGGTATCTCCAACTTTGTTCTTCTTTCTCAAGATTCCTTTGGCTATTCAGTGTCTTTCATGGTTCCATATAAATTTTAGGACTATTTGTTTTAGTTCTGTGAAAAATGCCATTGGTATTTTGATAGGGATTGCACTAAAGTCTATAGATTTTTGGGGGTAGTATGAACATTTTAACTATGTTAATTCTTCTTAACCACGAGCACAGTATATTCTTACATTTACTTGTATCCTCTTCAATGTCTTATAATTTTCCAAATATAGGTCTTTCATCTCCTTGGTTAAATTTATTCCTAGGTATTTCGTTTTTTAATGCAATTGTCAATGAAATTTTCTTATTGCTCTTTCTTAGTTCATTATTGGTGTATAAAAAGGCAACTGATTTTTTAATATTAATTTTGTACCCTGCTACTTTACTGAATTCATTTATCAGTTCTGATAGTTTTTTAGTGGAATCTTTAGGGTTCTCTAATATAGCATCATGTCATCTGCAAACAATGACAGTTTTATTTCTTCCTTTCAAATTTGCATACCTTTTATTTCTTTTCTTGTTTCATTGCTGTGGCTAACACATCCAATACTGTGTTGAATAAAAGTGGTGAAAGTGGGCATCCTTGTCTTCTTTCTGATCTTAAGGAAAATGCTTTTAGCTTTTCACTGTTGAGTATGATGTTAGCTATGGGTTTGTCATATATGGCCTTGATTGTGCTGAGGTATGTTTCCTCTATTCCCACTTTGCTGAGAGTTTTTATCATAAATAAATGCTGGATTTTGTCAAACACTTTTTCTGCATCTCTTGATATAATCGTATAATTTTTATCTTTCATTTTATTAATGTGGTGTATCACATTAATTGCTTTGCGGATATTGAACTAACCTTGCATCCCAGGAATAAATCCTGCTTGATCTTGGTGTATGATCTTTTTAATGTATTACTTAATTTGGTTCACTAATATTTTATTGAAGTTTTTCCATCTATGTTCATCAGGAATAATGGCCTATAATTTTCTTTGTTTGTAATGTCTTTGTCTGGTTTTAGAATCAGGGTAATCGTAGCCTCATCAAATGAGCTTGAGCGTTTTCCCTTTTCTTGAAAATTTTTGGAATAGTTTGAGAAGGATAGGTATTAATTCTTCTTTGAATGTTTTGTGAAATTCACCTGTGAAGCCATCTGGCCCAGGACTTTTGTTTACTGGAAGTTTTTTGATTACTGATTAGATTTCATTAGTAGTAATCAGTCTGTTCAGATTTTCTGTTTCTCTTGACTCAGTATGTTACTTGGAATGTACCCATTTCTTCCAGATTGTCCAATTTGTTGGCACATAAGTGTTTGCAGTATTTTCTTAAAATCCTTTGTATTTCTGTGGAGTCAGTTGTCACTTCTCTTTAATTTCTGATTTTGTTTATTTGGGTCCTCCCTCTTTTATTCTTCTTGAGTGTAGTTAAAGGTTTATCAATTTTGTTTGTCTTTTCAAAGAGCCAGCTCTTGGTTTCATCGATCCTTTATATTAGTTTTACAGACTCCATTTCATTTATTTCCACTCTGATCTTTATATTTCTACTCACTTGGGGCTATGTTGCTTGCTATTCTTTTTCTAGTTCCTTGAGGTGTAAGGTTAAATCAATTATTTGAGATTTTTCTTGTTCTTGAGATAGGCCTGTATTGTTATGAATTTCTCTTTAGGACTGCTTTTGTTGTATCCCATAGATTTTGGGTCACTGTGTTTTCATTTTCATTTGTCTCAAGGTATTTTTTTTATTTCTTCCTTGATCCCATTGTTAACCCATTCCTGGTTTAGTGGGATATTATTTAGCCTCAATTTGTTGGTATTTTTTTCCAGTTTTTTTCTTGCAATTGATTTCTAGTTTCATACCATTGTGGTCAGAGAAGACGCTTAATATGATTTCAATCTTCTTAAATTTACTGGGACTTGTTTTATATGCCTAATATGTGTTCCACCTTGGAAAATGTTCCATGTGCACTTGAAAAGAATGTATATTTTGCCACTTTGAGGTGAAATGCTCTAAAAATATCTGGTCTAGTGTATTATTTAATGCCATTATTTTCTTGTTGATTTTCTGTCTGAAAGATCTGTCCACTTGTGTCAATGGGTGTTAAAGTCCTCTACTAAAAAAAAATAATTAAATAAAAAAGATAGAGTCCTCTACTATGACTATATTACTGTCAATCTCTCCTTTATTTCACTCAGTATCTGCTTTAGCTAAGTGCTACTATGTTGAGTGCATAAATGTTTACAAGGGTTATATCCTCTTATTAGATTGATATTTTTATCATTATGTAATGTCCTTTTTTGTCTCTTATTATAATCTTTGTTTTAAAGTCTGTTTTGTCTGATATCAGTATTGATGCCCTAGCTTTTCTGTTTGTTTCCATTCACATGAAATATCTTTTTCCATCCTTTTAGTTTCAGTCTGTGTGTCTTTTGGCCTAAAGTGGGTCTCTGGTAGACAGCATATGTATGAGTTTTGTTTTCTTATCCATTCAACTATCCTATGTCTTTTGATTGGAGCATTTAATCTATTTACATTTAAAGTGATTACTGATAGGTACATAGTTATTGCCATTTTATTATCCACATTCTTGGTCTTCCCCCACCCTTCTTCTTAAAGAAGTCCCTTTAACATTTCTTATACTACTGGTTTGGTGGTGATGAACTCCTTTAGCTTTTTCTTTTCTGGGAAGATCTTTATACCTCCTTCAACTTTAAATGATAGTCTTATTGGGTAGGATAGTATTGGTTGTAGGTCCTTACGTTTCATCACTTTGAATATTCATGCCAATCTCTTCTGGTCTGCAAAGTTTCTGTTGAGAAATAAACTGACAGTCTTATGGGAGCTTCCATGTAGGTAAATAACTGCTTCTCTCTCGCTGCTTTTAAGAGTCTCTCTTTGTCTTTGATCTTTGGCATTTTAATTATGATGTGTCTTTGTGAGGGCCTCTTTGGGTTATCTTGTTTGGGACTCTCTGTGCTCCCTGGGGTTGTATGTCAATTTCCTTCTCCAGGTAAGGGAAGTTTTCCATCCTGATTTCTTCAAATAGGTTTTCAATTCCTTGCTCTCTCTCTTCTCCTTCTGGTATTTTTGATGTTGTCCCAGAGGTCCCTTAAACAATTTTTATTTTTAAAAATATTTTTCTTTTTTTCAGTTCTGATTGGGTTTTCTGCTACCTTGTCTTCCAAATTGTTGATTCCATCTTCTGTTTCATATAATCTGCTATTGATTCCTTCTAGAGTATTCTTCATTTCAGTTATTGTATTCTTCATTTCTGACTGGTTCTTTTTTTTTTTTTTTCATGGTTTCTACATCCTTTTTTTATGCTTATCATCTTTTAGTTGAAGTTCTTACTAAGTTTCTTGAGCATCCTTATAATCAGTGTTTTGAATTCTATATCTGGTAGATTAATTGCCTTCATTTTGTTTAGTTCTTTTTCCGGAATTTTGTCTTGTTCTTTCATTTAGAACATGTTTCTTTGTTTCCTCAATTCGGCTGCCTCTATGTGTTTGTTTCTATGTATTAGGTAGATCTGCTATGTCTCCCAGTCTTGGCAGATTGGCTTTATGTAGTAGGTGCCCTGTGAAGCCCAGTGGCACAGTCTCCCTCAGCACCTGAGCTGGGTGTTCCAGGAGTGGCTCTTGTGTGGGTTGTGTGTGCTCTCTTGTTGTAGTTAAGCCTTGATTGCTGTTGGCATGTCAGTGGTCGGGATTGACCCTCAGTCTGACTGGCTGTGAGAAGTGGACATGCCCACAGCCTACAAACTACTCTGCAAGAGCTGACTCAATGGAGTGGGATTTGCCCCAGTTCTGGTGCTTGCTGAGACCACTCTTTGGGTGTGCCACTTGAGGGGCTAATCGGGTGGTGGTCTGTTGTGGTCTGAAGCTGGTCTTTGGTTCTCAGGCCTCTTGGAAGGGACTCCCATGCAGGCCAAGGTCAGCCACTACCTATGTCCAGCTTGGGGCTGGCTGGTAGTAGCTACAAAGTGATCTGCAGTTGGACGTGGCCTGTGCTAGATCTGGAGGAGCATGGGAGAAGCCACACTATAAACCGAGGTCAGCTGCACCAGGCCCAGGGTACCCTAAGGCTTGCCACTACCTGCTGGCTGCCCGTAAGGCTCAGCCATTAAAAGAGCCTTGGACAGTACTCGAGTTGGGTGAGGCAGGGTATCAGGGAGTCACCAGTATGGGGCAAGTGGTGTTCATCAAGTTAATGCAAATTCAGGTTTTGCACCTGTGCTAAGCCTAGGGCCATTCAGCAAAAGGCTTGGAGCACACCAAGCACACTGAGGCCATCACCTGCCTGGGGCATGTGGACCCCCAAGAGTTGTCTAAGAAAGATTACAGTGTGGGCCAGGACTGGCTGCCCACCGCCATAAGTGCCTCCAGCAGTATACAAGCCAAGGCCAGCTGCTTGCAGCAGAAAGAGCTTCCTACAGCACATGGTGCACGGTGCACAAGGCAGGGCTGGCTGCCCACCACTAGAAGTGCCTCTGGCAGTTGGGGAGTTGGGTAGGGCAGGGTCCCAGGGAGTCACTAGGTTAGAAAGCAGATTTCACCAGATAAATGCAGATTCAGACTTGTCCCTGTTGGGAGAGGGCTCAACATCGGAAAGATGGTGCCCACCCTATAGGCTACACAGCAAGAGAACTCAACACAGGGATAATGGCGGCCATCCATCCAGCCCTCACCCTGAAGCCACACAACTCCATTTCTCCCTATTTGTCTCTTGTGCCTTCTGAGCTGTCATCCCTCTGCCGGAGCTCAGGATGAATGCCTGGGAGTGAAAGAATCTGTGTGAGCCCTCAAAGAGGACATCTGGATTTCCAGCAACCTTCTGCCTCACCCAGAAAGAAAGAATTCCCATTGTTTTTTACAACCAGATGTTGTGGAGGCTCCTCCTCTCAGCATTGGTGCTCTAGGCAGGGGAGCCTGGTGTGGGGCTGGATATCTCTGCCACTGAGACATCCCTCCCTATTCTCAACCGCGACACGTGGGTATGGAACTATCCCGTTTCACATCTCTGTCCCTTCTACAAGTCCAATGGGGCTTTTCTTTATATCCTTAGTTATAGGACTTTTGTTCAGCTAGTCTTCAAATGGTTCTCTAGGTTGATTTTTCTATAATTTAGTTGTACTTTTTATGTGATCATGGGAGGAGGCAAGCACAGCATTTACCTACTCCACCATCTTGTCAACTTTACTGTTGTTTTAATTTGTATTTCCCTGAAAATATATATGGAGCATTTTTTCATATGTTTATTTGCTACCTTTGGAGAACTGTCTATTCAAGTCTTTTGCTCATTTTTTAATCTGTTGTTCATGTCCTTATTGTTGAATTTTAAGAGTTCTTTGTATATTTCGAATAGTCCTTTATCAGATATGTCTTTTGCAGACATTTTTTTCCCAATCTGTGGCTTGTCTTCTTTGATCTATTTTTATTGATTTTATTTTTTTTATTTTAATATTTTCATTAAATGTATTGGGGTGACATTGTTTAATAAAATTATATAGGTTACAAGTGTACAATATAGCAAGTGTATAATAATACATCATATGTATATTGTATCATGTTTATTTTACCAGCTAAAGTTAAATTTCCTTCTGTCACCATATATTTGACCCCTTTACCCTTATCTATCTTCTCCACTTCTCCCTCCCTCTGGTAACCACTAAACTATTGTTGGTGTCCATGAGTCTCTGTTTGTCTTGTTCATTTGTTGCTTTCAGTTTTATATCCCACATATAAATAAAATCATATGGTTCTCAACTTTTTCTGTCTGATTCTTGGTCTATTTTTAATAATTCACTTTGAATCAAAACTATGCTTGTCATTTTATCTAACCAGTGAGTATTCTCATATCTACATATACCTAAGAGAAAATATTTAACTCTTATTAGAGTAAAGGTATTTTTCTGGAGCTAAGAGACATAGCCACTTAGCCCAGAGAAGTAATTAGTCCCAAGCATATAAAAAACAAACAAACAAACAAATGAAAGCTATATCTGTAATAAAGAGCTTAGGGACCCCAACCAGAGTCAATATTTTAGAATATTAGCTATATTTAAAAATAAATACTCAAAAGGAAATTGAAGAAATCTACTCTCATGGACTAGATGTATCAAGAACTGACTTACCTAAGCAGGACTGAAAATTTAGCGGGAAGCTTTTAGCACTTCACTCAGTATTCTAGCAATCACCCTCTTATTGCCCACCCCACCTGCCCTTCACAGATACCCACTTTCTTACCACTATCATAGGAATCATTCCTTTGGGGTCTAGAATCCATTCATTGAACTGCTCCTGCAGAGCCTGTTTCCGTGTGTTGGCTACCTTGACTTTGACTTCGTTTATGCTTTCTCTTTGTTCTTGTTTCTGTTTAACCTTCTCTTTCATCTTAGACACTCTGAAGAACATAGAAATAAAAGATATGTTGAGTTAAGACCACTGGATTTGATTCAAATTTTTCAAATGTTAAAATACAAGAATTCAGAAACTCATATAAACTTTGTACCTGTCTTTTCTCCATGAAATTGTCCTTGATTCAAGCCTGTAGCACATTAATTATAGGCTACCTGCTACTATTATTTGACTTTTTGTAGAGGTGTGCTTATTTTACCCAACTAAATACTATACTTAGGGAGTACTAAGAATATTCCTAGATGTTGCCACTTATATACTAAAAGCAAAGTTGAATGCACTAAGGTCTTAATGTGGTGAGCTTCTCTCTTCCACGGACATAGCAATCGTGTGGAAGGACTCTGATTCAAGGTCTAGGGTAGGATCCTGAAAGCTGTTTATAACAAGTATCTCAGGTAATTCTGATACCTTGGACCAAACTTTTGATTTCTGTCTAGGACTATATATTGCCAATTTCTTTTGTTTGGACAGAGTCAAATACATTGAAAGCCCCTAAGCATAATAGTTATATTTGTACTCAGGCAGAGTCGTATCGCCCACTAGAAAATGTGGAAAGGACTGTGATTTTAATTGTGCCTATGTTCATCATCCCTATTAGGACTTCAAAATCCCCAAACTGTTTTGATTAAAACACCAGAATGTCTCAGAATAATAAAAATAGCTGCTGCTTTCAAATACAATTTTCCAATAATGTTTGAGACAGTTCTTCATCTTTCAGAGAAGAAAATCTAGGGCAATCTGACAGATTTTAAAAGGCAAACAAATTTCAGTAAGTGCCGGTAAATTGGATACCTTTAATAATAAAAAAAAAACAACAACAACGACTACAATATAAGTCATTACTTTATGCCCATATAAAGCCTTTGAAATTCTCTAGGAAAATATGTCTTCAAAAATAAACTTTGAAGCTTGAAAACCTAAACAAACAAGTGGTTTAATAATGTAGAAGGGCCTGTTCCGAACTGCTGGAAGGATTAATTAGTGCTTCAAAGGAAGTGCTAAGTTCCTCTGGTAAAACTGCTAAGTAGCCAAACCTCTCCCACTTATCTCAGAGCCTTCAGTCCCTTCCTATGCTGGCTCTCCTTCTGCTCTTCTCCTACTCTTTCTCCTCTGCTGCGTTATCTACTTCCCGCTTCCCTCTCTTTCTCTCCTTTTTCTCTCTTTTCCTCTCTCTATACATTCTCCTTAATTTCTGTCTTCATTCCTGCATGACTCTCTATTCCGTATCTGTCTTTCTTCTAGCTTTTTCTCATTATTTATTCATTCACTCACTTGCTCACTAAGTCAGCCACCTACTATGGATTCTGCCATTATAAAGCTTAGGGTCCAATGCAGAACAGTTAAGTAAACAATATTGCATAGAAAGTACTGGGTGTTTCCAGATTCTCATGTGTATTAATCACTGCAACACAAAAATAGATGAACAAAATTGGGTTTCTGTTATATTTTCATCTGTTTGAAATACTTTTCTTCCTCTCATTGCTTGACTAGATCCTCCATATCTTTTAGGTCTCAGCTCAGACATCATTTCCTTCCACTTATTAATGTCCACATTTAGAAACAAAACCTAGTTTTGTGCTTCAGGGCCACCGTACATGAGACTCCAAACTATTAAGACTCTGTTAAAAGAAATCAAAGAAGATACAAAGAAATGGAAAGATATTCCATGTTCACGAGTTGGAAGAACCAACATAGTTAAAATGATTTTATTACCTAATGCATTATACAGATTTAATGCAATCCCCATCAAAATCCTATTGGCACTTTTTAAAGAAAAAGAACAAAATATCATCAGATTTATGCAGAAGCACAAAAGACCCCGAATCCTCAAAGCTATCCTGAGAAAAAAGAACAAGTCTGGAAGTATAACTCTGCTTGACTTCAAATTATACTACAAAACAACCATAATCAGCACAGCATGGTACTGGCACAACAACAGACACACAGACAGATGGAACAGAATCGAGATTCCAGAAGTAAACCCCCATTTATATGGGCAAATTATTTTCAGCAAAGGAGCCAAAAACATACCATGAAGAAAGGAAAGCCTCTTCAATAAATGGTACTGGGAAAACTAGAAAGCCACCTGCAAAAGAATGATACTAGACTATTGTGTCTCTCACCACACACCAAAATAAACTCAAAATGAATTAACACCTGAATATAAGACCTGAAACAATAAATTGCATAGATGAACTCATGGACCTTGGACTTAAAGAAGATTTTATAAATTTGACCTCAAAGGCAAAAATACAACAGGAAGTAAAAGCAAAAATAAATGAATTGGACTATATCAAACTAAAAAGCTTCTGCATAGCAAAAGAAACTATCAATAATTCAAAGAGACAATCATCTGAATGGGAAAATACATTTGCAAACAATGCATCTGATAAGGACCTGATATCCAAAATATACAAAGAACTCATACAATTCAATAACAACAACAACAACAACAAAACAATACAATTAAAAAATGGGCAGAGGACCTGAAAAGACACTTCTCCCAAGAAGACATCACTAGCTATTAGGGAAATGCAAATCAAAACCACAATGAGATACCATTTCACACCTGTTAGAATGGCTATTATTAACAGGACAAGAAATAACAAGTGTTGGAGAGGATGTGGAGAAAATAGAACCTTAAAAGACTGCTGGTGAGACTGCAAATTGGTTCAACCTCTATGGAAAACAGTATGGAGTTTCCTCAAAGAACTAAGAATTGATCTACCATATGACCCAGCAATCCCTCTACTCAGTATTTACCCCAAAGACTTGAAAACTCATATCCGAGTTTGCACACCAATGTTCATAGCAGCACTATTCCTGGTGGCCAGGATGTGGATGCAACCAAAGTGTCCTACGATAGGTGACAGTATAAAGAATATGTGGTACATATATACAATGGACTATTATTCAGCCATAAGAAGAGATGAAATACTGCCATTTGCGACAACATGGATGAATCGAGATAATAATGTAATGTGAAATAAGCCAGACAGAAAAAGTTGAAAACCAGGTCATATCACTTATATGTGGTATATAAATCTAAAAGTAACAAACAAGCACGACAAAGAGAGTCTCATGGACATGGACAGTAAATTAGTGGTTGCCAGAGGATAGAGGGGAAGGGGGGAGGTAGATGGGGTAAAAGGGATCAAATATATGGTGACAGAAAGCAATCTAACTATGGGAGGTGAACACACAATGTAAATGTATATGTCTTATTGTTAAAGTGTACAGTTGAAACTTATTGGATTTTGTTAATCAGCATCACCATGAAAATAAAATTATTAAAAATTTTTTTTAAGATAAATAGTCGATTACCCCAAATTAAGATATCTGATAGTAATCTTAGGTATCTAAAAACAAAAAAAAAGCAAAAAAAACAACAAAAAAATCAATACAAGAAAACTTTCATCATGAGTGCGAAAGCCAGATTAGATTAGTTAAATCAAAGTAAAATGGCATTTAAACTGAACTCTAAAGCAGGGATCCCCAACCCCTTGGCCGTGGACTGGTACTGGACAGTGACCTATTAGGAACTGGGCCACACACCAGGAAGTGAGTGGCTGGCTAGCAAGTGAAGCTTTATCTGTATTTGCAGCCACTCCCCAGTGCTAGTGTCACCACCTCAGCGCCACCTCAGATCATCAGGTGTTATATTCTCATAGGAGCACTGGTCCCTGGTGCCAAAAAGGTTGGAAACTGCTGCTCTAAAGGATTAGTAAGATAAAGTAAGGAGGAAGAAGAGTGATACGGGCAGAAGGAATAGCATATGTAAAGACCCTGAGGTAGAAAGAAGTGTAGTATGTTTGAAGAACTGAAAGAAATCCTGTGTGTTTGGAGTAGAGAGGGTGAGGAGAGAGGCAGAAGCCAGGACTAAAAAGAAAGTTAGGGATCAAGTCATACAAGGGAGGTCTTATGACCTAGTTAAGGATTTAGATCTTTATCCTAAAAGGTTTTACATTGAAGAAAAACATGTGTCTCTTTCTCCCTTTTAGCTTTTACTCGGTTTGTATTTCCTTAATACTTGAGCATTTATACTGACTTATTTTTCTTCTTTATGTAGCTGTAATAGAGAAAATAATTCCGTGGAGTATTTCTTTGTGATTCTTTCTTATCACAGATTAAATGTTACATGATTAGTCCATAAGGCTGATAAAGAATAGTCAAAGGACAAATACCCAAAAGATACCTCAGGGTGTATCACAGATGCATAGTGATTATGAAATAAGTAACAGATGTAGAGATCAGAGATCATTACCAAGCCAGAACTAGTTATGCATCACTATAATTGCCATACAGGAAAAGATCTAAGGTTTTGCCTTGAGTTTCTTAGATCTACTTCCTGGTTCATTTGAACTCTCATTCTAGGATTAGGACTGTGTATCAGGACTCTGGAGAAAAGAGAGGAAATTCATAGTATAATAGGCCTCACTTCTCTGGAATTGTGTGAAATTCTAACATTAGTAATCATTTTCTATAATCCTTTTTTGTTCACTGTTTAAATGTTTTTATTTTTGGAAATATCATATAGCAAAATTGACCTTCTGAGTGCATAGTTATACAAATTTCAGCACATATATATAAATATGTCTAACCATCACCATAATCAACTACTGAAAATTTGTAACCCTATTTTAAGAGCAAATTCTTTCATTATTAATTCACAAGGCAGTAGTGACTTATAGAATATGTGTTCTCATGCACTGGAATAATCAAGAGTCAGAGAGAAAAAATATCAAAAGAAATGCTAAAAATATATATGAAAAAAAGCAAAATGATACAAATCTAACCACTACAATTTTATACCTTAATCTTCTAGAAACCCTGATGAAAAGCAATAAAAATATATTGCATATGTGAAACTTAAAAACAGCAGCAATATTTCATTTTTCAGATAAGTGACTACTACTATAAAAATTGTTCCAAATTAATAAGTGTCTTCTCTATCTACTGTCCTTAGATATCAAGCAGAGATGAACCTTTTTTTGTGCTGGGAAGCAGACAATTGAAAACTTTGAATCAGGTTCTGGCAAATGAACACTTTAACATTATCACCAGAAGATAAAGTCTTAAAAAAACAAACAAAAATTTTGTCTTTTTTCTTGAAAATAAATAAAGAAAACTCTCATTCCCAAAATAATTTTCCAAAGCTCTCTAATGAATTGAGAACAACACAATGATATAGTTCAGAGGATTTAAAAGCAGGACTGTTTTTGCTAAGATGCTGGATATCCAAGTCAATAGTCATTGTGCTGTTGTAAAGCATCCCTAGGATTTCTGGATATTCTACAAAAGCCTGACATTGTCACATGTTGACATAGATCTTGGATTATTGCCAGAAAGAGATAGAGTTCTAATCTTGACAATTCAGGCAAAGAAAGTATCTTTAATTACTTTAACTCTTTCATAAAATTCCTATAACAGTATTGCTCCTATAGAAACTAGGACTCTTAACAAACCTCAAATGACCCTAACTATTCAAACTCCTAGTTCAAGAAACATCAGTGAAATAAACTAATCCTCTTGTGTCATGCTATTGGTTGGCAATGGAACCTAGACCAAAGTTCTCTTGTGCCTGTAACTATTATTACTATAGATATTCATAAATGCCTAGAGTTTAATGTACTGACTGAGATTTACATGTCCCTAACAGGAGAAAGGATTTATCAATATGTTGATTTACAGCCTTGACACCAGTTACTAAATTTTAAGTTTTTTTCAAAATGGAAATAGATCTAAGTACAAATTTGATTTCTTGCTCTGCAAGAACAGATGATGAACAAAAATATTCTTTAAGTTATTTATTAAATTTAATGACACTGCTTCCTGCTGCTGTCAGAACTTTTCACTAGTATTAAAACTCACTTAATCTGGTTTTGCTAAATGATTGGTCTTGAAACTTTAGTGTGCATAAAAACCTCCTGTGAAAGTTGTTTCAAATACATTCTTTGAGGTTTTGATTCAGATTAGAAATTGATTCGCTTCTGATATTATTGGTAGGCAACCATACACTTAGTTTATTCTGAGGAACATATATACTTTATTTCAAAAGAATTATCATTCTAAGCTTCTAATTAGTTGCTTACCTTATAGGAATGATACTAAAACAAGTCACAAAGAATTTTAGATTCCTTTATAAATTTTAGTTTAAGTATCCATACCAGAAGACATTAAAAGGAAAATATAAAGATTCAGGAAGAGAATCAGAGATTCAAAGTGCCTTATTTGTTTTTTTTTTTAGGTCTGGAAGAGGCCAAACAGATACTAGACCTGATCTAGACCAGGGATCAGATTCTACATTCTAGGGGCCAAATATGGCTTGCTGCTTGGTTTTATACAACTCAAAATTTAAAATTAGTTGTTACATTTTAAAGTAGTTTTTAAAAATAAAAATAAGAATAATACTTTGTGGCATGTAGAAATTCAAGAAATTCAAATTTTAGTATCCATAAATAAAGTTTTACTAGAACATGGCCATGCTTATTCATTTACATATTGTCTATGGCTACTTTTATACAACAGCAGAATCAAGTAGTTGTGACTCCATTTTCCAGGTAAATTTCTCAAATTTATCAATATTTTCATGATTTTGAGTCATGGTTCAAAAGGCTTTTTTTCTGGTTGTAATAGAATTTAACCCCTGGTTTCTTTTAGTTTTTGAATGGTTTCAGTTTTTACATACACATATTTAATAGAATATAGTATATGGACAGTAAAGCTGAAAATAAATATAAAACCTTATTTAGTAGTTCAATTATTCATAGCCTTGTTGGTATTATTATTTTAAAGGAGTTTTATGTAAATCGTAGGAAAAAGTAAAGTAATTTTGTCAATTTTATTAGGAATCAAGATTTTCAGTGTAATAAATAAAGATACAAATATAAAATCAAGGAATTAGATAAAAACTCTGAAACATTGTATTTGATATGAAACTATTAATATGAACTCATTATTTTTAAAAATTATATTCGTTAGTCACGAAAGCCTAGAAGCAATGACAGTACAATATTTATGAGCATTCCTAGCTCCCAGATGAGTGATCCCCATTAAAAGGAACTAATCCTTAAAAAAATACATGAAGCTTTCAAGACTAAAGGTGTAATATTAGAACACAGGAACCAAAGTTGGGTCAAGTTGAGCATCAAAGAGAAAAAATTTGACTTTACTAGATTAAAATACATTGAACATATATTAAAATCCATGTGTCCATAATGATACTCAAAAAAGAACTCTTCCCCAAAAGGGGAAAAATCATTCGTTGTCACTAGCATTGACTATTGACGATAGGCAGGCAGATAGATAGATAGGTAGATAGATAGGTAGATAGATAGATAGATAGATAGATAGATAGATAGATAGATAGATAGATAGATATTTATTCTGAAAACCTGGAATTAAAAGGAAAGAAATAAACATTTATTCTGTCTTACTAGTAGAAAACATATTTCAACATAACCAAATATATAGCAATCAAGTAGGATTTATTTCAGAAATTACAAAATAGCTCAACATTAGAAAATCTATTAATAAAGTTCATTGTTAATGAATCTAGGGTGAAAATCAAATGATCATCTCCATATGTGCTGAGAAAGCATTTGACAAAATTGACAATTATTCCTGAATTTTAAAAATCAGAAACTAGGTGCATTTTTCTTAATGTGATAAAATATATTTTTTTCAGATCTAATGAAGTAGTTATGGTAGTAATATATATATATATATATATATATATTTAACTGTTCATATTAAAGCAGTAATAGAAAAATCATTTCTACTTAAAGTCATAAACAAGACAAGGATGCATATATCACCACTATCATTTAACATTGATTTGGAGGTAATAGCCAATGTAATTTAACAGTAATTATTTATGGCAGAGGGGGAGTATTGGGTAGATGAAGGATAAGAATGGAAAACTTTTCCCTGTATAACTCTATGTTTTGGCTTTTGAATCAGGTAAATATGCTGCCTATCTGAAAAGTTAAATTTTTAAAAAGTCTCTACTCTCATATATCTTATTTTCCAATGCAGGGAGACAGATAATAAATGAATATATACTTGGGATCCTAGTGAGATAACTAAATCCATGAATACAAGAAACTTATTTACTATACTTCACTAGTCTTTATTAATGCCTTAAAGTGAAGCACATAGTAGTGGCTCAATACTTTTTGAATAACTATAAAATTACTTACTTAAGTCCTTTTAAGTTTGTATAATTATGTTATTGTTCTACATGCTTTTCAATATAAGGAGCTATATCATCAACTGATAATATAACAAATAGTACCTGTTGCAGATAGTGCTGGGAACATGTATCTTCAGGTCTTCTGTAACATCTCTCATTACCCTCTGATAACCAGACATTCCCGAGTCTTTGATATAATTAGGATTGTTTCTCATTAAGTATTCCCCCAAATAATTAATTGGATCAAACTTGATTGGAATATCAATTTCTGTCAAGAGCTTCTTGTTTTCCACTTGCATTAACATTTTTTCCACACCAGGAACTAAGGTGGGTAGAAGTTTGTCAAGCAAATATGCACGAGTGTTCAGTGTCATGTTTTCAGTATTAAACCACTCTTTGGCCAAATTATCCTTAGGGAGTTTTTTCTGAGCCTTTTTTTCTAGTTCCTTCTTCTCATTATCCTTACATATTCTTTTCTGCTGCATTGCCTGAGCTCTTGCCTCCACTCTTTCAAAAAGATTTTTCTTCCATGGTTGTTCTAGCTTTGAATCCAGGAGAGTTTGATCTAAGTTGAAAATCACTTTTGCAGGTTTTCTTACCACCATATTCTTTGAGACTCCAATGTTATGGTCCTTTATTGAACCAGTTGAGATTTCTGGCTGCCCCTCCAGGTCTAATTCTGAAGGAAAAGAAGTGAAATGTAAGAAATATTAGAAGTAGATTTTAATCTATGTTACTTTATAATATTATTAGGAAAAAGAGTTTTTTACATACCTTTACATGTTGTATTCAAACACAGCTGAAAGTAACAAAAAATTAGACAACAATGACTTTAACAATAGGACATTTATTGTTGACTTAATCAGAAGTCATTCAGCAGCTCAGTGTTTTTCATTAAGTACCTAGCCTGTTTTGTTTTTCTTTGTTCATTTTTTTTTGTGCTTGTACCTCAGGATCACAAGATAACTATTGCAGCTCCAGACATCTCTTCTTTACAGGAAAAAAGGGATTAAGAACAAAGGGGATTTTTCCTCTTGAGGTTCTCTTTTATTATCCAAGAGAAGAAGATCCCAGACTCTAAAACTTTCCTTTACATTTCATTTAGCTTAATTAAGTTACATGTCTACTCCTAGCTGGTAAAGGGAAAAGGGATTATTATGAATAGTTTTGACCAATCATAATTTATTACTTCACATCAGGATTTAGGTCAAGTTCTCTGATATCAAGTGATTTCTATCTGCTATAAAATCGAGGTTCAGTTGGCAGGGAAAAAGGTTGGGAAATGTCTGCTGAGTGGGCAGTGAAGAGAGTCTATCACATGTTTATTTAAATAAATTTCTTTCCATGCTTGTATTTCCAGCCTCTTTCATGTGTTCATTTTTAAAATGTAGTGTGATTTTAGACCAAGGTAGTAGATTGAGAATAGGAACTTGCATTCCCTCCCTACCAATATCTTTAGAAATGACAGAAAAGGTTGTGTGCATGTATATTTTAATATAAACATGTATAATTTTAATATTTTAATAAAATATAAGAATGCTGGCAATCATGAAGGAGAACTTCAGTAGTCAGAAATTTTGAGGGTCTCTGAAAATTATAAGGTAGGGGGGATTAGATTAAAGAAAATATAGAACTAAAAAAATACAGGAGAAAAATATACACTGTGAAATTTGGGAGCAGCTTTGACGTGTCCCAAGTTTTAAAAAATGTAGATATGGGTAGCAGGGGAATTAATGACTTTTTGTATAACTTCATCCTTAGTTGAGCTACTCATCAGACACCAGAGGCATTCACCCCTGCATTGAGACAAGGGGGTTTGGGACAGAGAAAATGAATTGCTGACAGATTTCATTGTCTGCGCATCTTATTCCTTATCCACAATCACTGGTAGCAGACTACAGAAAACAGAAACTCCATCCACAAAAAAGCAAATAGGATTCCCAAATGCAAATGTCCACACACACATAAGAATCACTAAATATTTAAGTAACACTATCTCTGTGACTAAATTCAACAAATGCAGTAATTAATACTACCCAAGGAAATACCATTAATAGAATAAATGTAAGGAGTCTCTAAAAGAATTGTTATTAATATCCTCAGAGCAGATAAGTTAGAGAAAAAAAGAATGCTATATGTTATAAAAAAGTAATTAAGAGAGTTTGGACACCTAGCGCTCAGATCTTGGTTGCTAATATCAATCTCCAATTTAAAAAATCAAGTCTCACTGGAGAAATGGTTGATTTAAGGACTGAGGATGGAAATATATATGATGAGCCTAGGGCATCTTGTAGTGCCACAAAGTAAGGAAGTGCTCAAAAAAAAACTCCACAATGATTGTGTATGTCAAAGGGACACAGTAGCCAACTAAAGGAGCTCCTAATGGCCAGAGATAAAACAATTTGAGCAACAAAATAAAGTAGTATTAGATTATAACCCAAATATAAAACAAATATCCATACTGATATAAATATTTGCATGAATAAATAAATAAATGGGGGGGGGGAGATAGACAAATGTCCTGTGCAGAAGTATTCCAAATAACTTAATAGATACTCTGCCCTCAAGGAAGTAAAGCATAATTCTCTTCTTAAGTGTGGGCTGTGCATAGTTAGTTCTTCCCAAAAGTACAATATGGAAATAGGGGGAAAGAATCACTTTACAGTGGACAAACCTGACAAAAACTATTTCAGCTGGATGAAAAAGATTAACATCAACAATAAAAAGTCACTTTGAAGGACAAGTAATAACAAATGTTGGAGACGATGTGGAGAAAAAGGAATCCTCATACACTGCTGGTGGGACTGCAAATTGGTACAGCCACTATGGAAAACAGTATGCAGGTTCCTCAAAAAACTAAAAATTGATCTACCATATGATCCAGCAATCCCTCTACTGGGTATTTACCCAAAAGACTTGAAAACCCATATCTGAAAAGATATTGCACACCGATGTTCATAGCAGCATTATTCACAGTGGCCAGGACATGGAAGCAACCAAAGTGTCCTATGATAAATGATTGGCTAAAGAAGCTGTGGTACATATATACAATGGAATATTATTACTCAGCCATAAGAAGAGATGAAATACTGCCATTTACAACAACATGGGTGGACCTCGAGATAATCATGCTAAGCAAAATAAGCCAGACAGAAAAAGTTGAAAATCACATGATATTACTTATATGTGGGATATAAACCTAAAAGCAACAAATGAACAGGATAAACAAACAGAGACTCAGGGACAATGGACTAGTGGTTATCAGAGGGTAGGGGGTGGGGGAGGAGAGGAGAGGTAGACGGGATAAAGGGAGTCAAATATAGGGGGTTAGGGGTAGGGTGAAGTGGGTAAAGGGGATCAAATATATGGTAGCCAAAGGAAACTGGACTTTGGGTGGTAATCACACAATAGAATATATAGATGTCAAATTATAATGTACACCTGAAAGTTATATAATTGTATTAACCAATGTTACCCCAATAAACCTAATAAAAAAAACACACACAGAAAAAAAAAGTCACGTTGACAGCATATATGATATGCTTGATAGCATGTGATGAGAATAGTATTTTATCTCTGTAGTCTTCTTCCCCCAAACCCATAACCCCAAGCTAATTATGATAACAGACAAACAAACAAACAAAAAAGCCTTCAGACAAATCCATTTAAGGACATTCTGCAAAAATACATGATAGTATTCCTTAACGCATTCTTTATTTCTATCACGTTTTGATCACTTCCTCTCTAGTAATTATATATACAGTGGTTACACACACACACACACACACACACACACACACACACACACACATATTTTTTGTCTGCCCAAATTTCTTTGGGGAGTCACCCTTCTCTCATTCTTAATTCATTTAGTTTAGATAGGGCTGACCTCACCCATTTAGATCCAGGAATGGGTGGTGATCCAAACCTGACCACCAGCAAGGTCATTAAAAATAAGAAAATCTGAGAAACTGTCAGAACAAAGAAAAATCTAATTAAGTAGTCTATAAAGAAACTCTAGAAAAGCAAACATTTAATCTAAAGAATGTCCTAAGTCCAATAGTGAATATCATTTATGAAACTCTCTTCCAAATTTTAATTTCCTCCTTGGCTAATTCTCTTATTCCAATATGAGGAAGTGAGTAGGATGGTATAATGCTCTCCTTTACTTCTTGGTTGGATTTAGAAACAAACTGACTACTTTTGGGGGGTGGGGAGGGTTCTATTCTGTTTCATTGTATTGCTTTTATTTTGATTTTTAATAGGTGTGAAAGAGAGCAATTCTTTAAAGTCTGCAGGTTCTAATGTACTCTTTGTTTCTAATCTTTCCAGCATAATCCAAGACAAATATTCCTCCTCCTGCTTTAAGAGTAGTGCCACAGATGTATAGCAAATTAATATCTATCCATCTGCCATGGTTCATTAGCAAACTCGCACATGAACTAGGGCATTCTCTATCTTCCTTGCAGCCTGTTAGTGCTCCTCTAGTGTGCTTGGCTATTATAGGTTGCTAAGCAATAATCCTAGTGCTTATATTATCCCCAATGATATGCAGAATGGAAGTAGATGTGTGTTTGGTTACAACTCTAGCCAAACACTTCTCTCACAGGGCCATAAAATCAAGAAAAGAAAAGGAGGCACAGCAATAGCAGGGTCAATAAATCAGGATTTATTGAACAAGCGTATCTGTAGCTGTCTTTTGATTAAGTGACCTCCGAATTCAAGGATCATAAATTACAGCACAGTCCCAATGGCAAATTAATCCAGAGAGTCAATTGAATATAGTTTTAAACAAGTACTGGTTTTTAAAGCAGGTTTGTGCTTGGACATTCCTAAACCTTTTACAGGTAGATTGATTCATTTATATGTGCACTCAGTAAATAATTATTGATGTCTCACTTTGTGCCTAGCACTATGTTAACTAAGCACTAGAATTCTATTTCAGGATTGTCTTCCTAAACAATTTTAGAATTAAAAGGCTATCAAATTCTCCCCCAACATACACACCTTTATCCCTATATTAATCCGTCTTCTAACATACAAAGACCTGTTTAGGTGCTATGGTCATAAATGCTTTCAACTAAATGAGTAGGAACACAAAAGAATGCCTTACTTGTATTTTGAAAGGTCCAGCCTTATAAGTGACTTTTATCATTTCCTGTACTTGATACATGGCTCACTGCTATGTATGGCCTCAGTAAAAACCTCTTTAAGGACATAAACAGGAATGAATTATAATCCATAAGCCTTAGTATGTTCTTTCTTCACAAGAAGGCATGTAACATTAGTGGGACTAGCTCTTGATTAAAGTGGTGAAAATTGACCCAGCAGGGCTATTCAACTAGATGTGTGATGTTCTCTTTAAACAAGGGCTCTGAAACTCAGCTGGCTTGGTCTTATCAGGATTTCTTACCATTTCTACATAATGTAGGTTGACTACTAGGAAAGCAGAAGAAAACAAGCACTACTAAATACTGCTAGAATTAAAATTCTATAACTATATAGAAAAAGTCATTTTCCTACAGAACTTTGTTAATCTCAGGGCTGTGTAATGAGAACTGGGTTGAGCAAATCGATAGTTTGAAAAAAAAGATATTTCAAAATGCAAGTTAAGCTCATAGCCTGAAAGTAAAATAATTAGGGTAAAGAAATGAGGAATTCACATTTAATTACAATATTTTCTACGCAAAGATATTTGTTGGAGTGTATTATGGGAGCTGCCTGGCAAGATATCATCATTTTGACAAGTATATAACAGGGATAAAAACACTTCCTTTGACACATTGAAGTTGCAGCAACAGTTCCTCTTCTGACTTCTTACACACACACACACACACACACACACACTCTCTCTCTCTCTCTCTCTCTCTCTCTCTCTCTCTCTCTCTCTCTCTCTCTTTCTCACAAAAGGAGATTCAGAATATCAGGTTTAATTGTGACTGATCACAATAAATAAGTACATTGCATTGCATTTAATATCGCAACAAGCAAATGTAATGTTTTCAGCATATATTGTATTCTGGGATGAATAGATTTACAACAAACAATAGAATACACTTAGAATACACAAACACAAAGAATAGACTTATACATACTTCCCTCTAGCACACATGGGAAAGCAATAACAGAAACTGAAAGTACAGAAACAGGAAAGATCAAAAACTCTTGATTGATACCTTTTCTAGAGAGGCAATAAATTACATGAAGGAATACATGTTTGAAGTTTTGCAGGTGCAAATTTAGCCATAACTGATTAACATGAATACCTAATTAAATCTATAAAAACTTACCTCGATCACAATTCTGTTTGGCGTGTTTAAAATGAAAGAATTCATTTATAAACCTGATCCAAGTGATTAAGGTAAAGGCAAAGTGTATATATATTATGGAGTAGTGGTGGTGGAGGGTGGGAGTGAGAAAGAAGTAAAATTAAGAAACTGGTATGGGGGTGGAGTAGAGACAAGTGGAGAAGGACTTGCCAAGAAACTTTTTAGAAGTTAGTGAAGCTATGAAAATCATACTAAGTTTACAATAAGCACAAAATAAGTGTTGGAAAGTTTGGTTCTTAATGTGTATGTATTAAAATGTGCATTAAGAAATAGTAAATCGTTGCTTTTAATTGGTTTAAAAGACAAAAAAAGCACTTTGGAGAAAAGCAATCGTCTAAAAATTATAACTAGAATCCATATATGAACTTATAGTGTAGAAAATGCTTTAATAATTATCATTGTAATTCAGCCTAGCACAGCCTGCCATGTACTAAACACTCAATACTTGTAAATAGAATTAATTGAAATAAAAATTGAAATCGTTACATTTTAAATATTGTAAATAATTTTTGTGGTTCAGGATTTTATTAAGTATCTGAAGTTAGAAAAACTGTGGCAAAAGGGATGAATGTCTTGCCCACTTATTCGGTACCTTCTTGATCCTATAAATTTTCACTCTGCATAATTATGTGGGATTTCAGTTAAGGATGGGACAAAAGTCAAACAGAACAAATGTATGGTCAAATACAGTGGTAAAAAGAAACAGAAAAACAATAAGCAAGTCAAATCACTAGGGCTCCTCATTTTATGTTTGTATTAATATGTTGTCTGGTATGTTTCAGTCAGCAATCTTAGCTAATTTTCACTTTAAGTACAAGATAAATAGTCATAAAGTTGCCTCAAAATATTAATAAAAGGTAAAGGGAATATATTTTAAACTATTTCCAAAAATGCATTTAAAACACCCATTAGGATTATATTTTAAAAAGGCAAAATTGTGAGGAATGTATCCCTAATGAAAACTTAATAGTTTTAAATTCTGTTATACAAAGGAAAAGCTAGTTCCCTACCTTGGGATTTGACTTCATTTGTTGCTTCTTTTGCCACATTGTTGCCAGTGTCTAAAGCACAACTGTCTGGTGGATTCTGTAAACTCTGAAAAGAAAAAAGAAACATCAGTTGCTTTTCCTCAAAGTTGCATCAGCTCCAATTAAAGAATGCAGATAAATGCCTTAGAAATTACCAAACATTCCTACTTAATTTTGTTAGGATTTAATGCTTTATATTAGAAGCAAAGTAGTAATCAGTCTACTTACTGCATTAACAAGGTAAGATGTATTTGCTCAACATGTTATCACAACTTCGTGTTGCTAACAAAGTAACAAGCTAAGAGTATTATCCTAGATGTAACTTAATCCTTGAATTATACAATACTTAACATAATTTGAGACTATAGCACAGTTAAATCAGACTTTTGAAAATGCTACTTTCTTTTACTATTAGGATTGCCTTCCATATTTGTTGTGGAAAAAATTCATCTTAATTGAGGAAATTAAAGGTTAGTTTTATGAATAAATAATGGTAAAATAGTTTTTGTACTCATGCTTATGTACTTCTAAAAGAATAATAATACTTTAAGACTCACATTAGTCAACTCAATAATGAAACCATATAACTATTTTCAATTGCCTCCCCTTTTCTATAAAATGTTCATTCTTATATAAGTCTTGTACTTACCTAAACACAAAGTTACTTAAATGATTAACATGGAAGTTACGTTTTCAGAATGATAGTGAAGTTACCCTAAAAACTAGTGGTTATTGTACTTAGGGTAATGGTTCTGTTTTATTTATTTATAATTTATCTATAATTCATTTATCTATAATTCATAATAGCTCTTAACAAATAATTTATCTATGGAAGCTTCCTGCAACTGATTTAAATGAATCAGCTTAATGATCAACATGAGTTTGTCCTTTTCCATTTGCCACTTTATCTGTTTGAATACCTATATCTTTTCTTTTCCTTCTTTCATAAGAAAATTAATTTGTCCAGTTTACTCTCCAGCATTAACATCTGATTACTCGTGAAAACTCTACCTCAATAGGCTCTTTCACTTTAGTAGCTTCTTGTTTCTTTTCTTTGTCTTCATTTCCATTTTCCTAAGTGGAAAATGGCAGTGTTAGTAAATGGTATCCAAAAGGAACTGGAGATAAAACTAATATTGTATACTCTAGTATAGCAAACTTTTTTATGTAAAAAAAAAAATGTCACATGATGAGTAAACATTATACTAAATAAAACCACACCAAGTATTTACATTAACAAATTCAAATAGTAACAGTAATCAGGCCACTGCTTAATTGACCCCTTTGTTTCCAGCATTTTTTTTTTTTTTGCCAAACCCTGATGCAGAATATAAAAAGAGAAGTAATTAAATGATAGAATATAATATTGTCTCTCAATTTTCTCAAGAATGTTGAATCTCAAATCCTCTCATGGTGAAATGGTTAGGAATCTATTTGGGCCAGGTACCTGAGCAGGTTTAGGTTCCTCTTCAGATGCTGACTGACTCATCTGGACCACAAAAAAATATCACCAAGTGGTAGGGGTAAGGATTATTAGACCATTATTAATAACAAAAAGAGAGAAAGAAAATATTAATAAACAACAAAAAGTACTCTGAAAGATCAAAATCTTCCCCACCCCCATCACATCCCACCATTCTACTGAATAAGTTCTCAACTGCTAAATTTTTCAAACTGTACTACTGTTATTACTGTTATTACTGACCAAAGCTAGATTAGTGGTAGGCTAGTGCTCAGGCAGACAGGAAAATTCACCATAGTAATCATCACCATTATCATTTAAAAAAAGAAAAAACCCAGCAACAGTAATGCAATTGAAATTTTTAAAACATTATTATCATCTTAATTCATTTCTGAAATAACAATCAAGGTGAGATAAAGTGAAACTTTGGTGACTACCTAATTCATGTAAGAAAGGCTGATAGACATTAGAATAATCTCACTAAAAAGCATCTTTTTGGAAGGGGTGTTCTGAGATGAATTTGATTTATCTGGTTTATTTATTCACATTAATGAATTAAAATGGGTAATTACCAGATCCCTACTTCATTGCAAATAACCATAGATTCAGTCACAGATTATCAAAATCACTGCTATGCCAAAACTCACTTAAGAGTTTGTGTATATTCAGGCTAGGTGCTACGTTAAAAGTAAATTCCTGGCCTCTGCCTCATAGGGCAGTTATAATCTAGGGATTCATAATTTGAAATGCTGTTTTTATCAACATAATATATGTTCTAGTTGAATAAACCAAAAGTACTGCCTTTGGAGACAACACATTCTAACACTTAAAAATAGCTGCCTCAAACCTTTTTTGAAGCAGTTCATAAATAATAAATAATATAAACTAGATTTCTTTGACAGGTCCCAATTGTAAATTCTCACAGATGGCTTTCTTTGCTTGTAGTGTCCTTATCCTGAAATTGCTAAGAAGTGTCCTTTCATTTCTTTTAAAATCTGTTTTGTTTGGATGCACCCAGATAAATCCAACTCAATAAAACTTTATTGGGTATCTTTTATATGCAAGTAGACACTGGAGTTAAAAAAAGATGAAAAAAAAAAAAAGATGAAAAGACCTGCCTTTGAAGAGTTCCCTATCTAGTGAAGGAAAAAGGGATAAACAGATGCAATTCAATCTGCAAAGTGCAAAAGTAGAGGTACGTATAATATGTTAAGGAACAAAGAGGAATATATAATATATTTTCCCAGAGAGGTCAGGAAATTTTTCACAGAAAAATAGATTTTCAAGCTGGATTCAAGGGACTAGTAAGATCTTTTTGTGTAAAGAAGGAAGAGTAATTGAGGGAGAAGAAACAATACACACACATAAGGGTATGAAAGTTCAAAAAGTGTTTGAAACATTCATGTAGAGAGCATAGTTATATAAAAGAAAGTGGCAGAAGATGAGGCTAAAAAGGTAACTTTTCGATCTGTAAAGTTATTCGCGCTAAATCAAGGAGTTTGGACTTTATTCTGTGCTTTTTAAGCATACTAAAGATGTGATCAAATTGGTGTTTTAAAAAAGTTAATTCCACCAGCAAAGACTGGAAGTGTGAATGACTGGGGGAAAGAGAGACTAAAGGTAAGTTTTGTACCTTAAGTGTGAATACCTCACTACCCTCACTCTAGGCTCTGCCAGACATTGTCAGTATGCTAACCATATCCCTTCAGCTTCACTTTCTCAGTACATGCAGATGGTTTCTCATTGCAAGCACCTGCAATTCTAGCTGAGGGCTTCCTGTCAGTCTAAATGTGAAAACAGGCCAGAAGTGCTTGGGAGTTAATATCTTACAGAGGCCCTCAACCAGTGAAGGATAGGAAGTTGCATATAGTCCCACGGGCAGAACATTTTTCAGGTATATTCTATAGTGTCTCCCAGAGTTCCCCATTAGATTGAACCTCAGTTGCCCAAGTGAAACTTGACCAATAATATAGCCTTCCTTCACTTAATTGTATTACTTCTCTACTCCCCTACCATTGTTTCCTGGAAACACTTCCCAAGTGAACTTGCACTCTACTCCCTGGATCAGGGTCTGCTCTAAGGGAGCCCAAACCAAAAATACTACAATAATCAGTACTGGGGGGCATAATTGGATCTAAGAAGTGAAAGAGGAGGTTAGTTAAGGCTCACTGAGTGTTTTTTTTTTCTTCATATTTAGAAGGCTGAATGGATGGTGATGCCATTAAGTGAAATAATGAAAGGATAGAAAAACAGTTTTGAGGAATGATACAAGTTTGAGTTTGAGGTGTTACATTTAAGATACCTGTTTGATAGCCTGAAAAAATTTCTAATAAGAATCTGAATGCCACTGAAATATATTATGATGCATTGGCAGGAAGTTATGCAGAATCGAATTCACTGGAAAATGATGAAACATTACTCAGTCTGAATAGCATTAACTTACATTTTAATTACTCAAAGTGCATAGCATTCTGCACACCTCCCACTCTCACTCATGATATTCGAGAGTCATTCCACTTAGTTGGCTGTGAGACAACTTTTGTGAATTTAGTTAAAGACCTTCCACACACACTCTCAATAGATTTGTAAATTGGTGAATTGCAACATTTGGCATCTTGGTTGGCAAGACTGTCAATCGTATATGAAAGAGTAGCCAATTATCCTTGAAGAGGGGGTTTTCCTAGTATAAGAAAGAAATCATACATCATTCTGATTACTCAGACGAATAAAAGATAAGATGTGTTATTTACATTGGGTCGCTTGTGAGTCTTTATCCCCTGGGTATTGATAGAAAGATGCATTTGTAGGAAGATGTTAGTAGAGTTTACCCAATAAGAATAGCTAAGAGAAGAAAAAAAAGGTCTTTAGATTAAACTCTTGATAACACTTAAAAGGAAAGCTGAGAAAGAAGAGGCAGTGAAAGATACTGACAACTATTGAACATAGGAAGTTCCTAGGGCTGTGCACCTGCATGTTGCTGGCCTGACTCCTTTTACAAGCCTCTACTGCTGTGCACACACCTGCAGCAAGCCCCTACAGCCCCACAAACATATACCAACAGCTAACATCCCTATAGCTGCTAGTGGGCCCAGATTTAACTTTAACTTCTGTCATTGGTCTACATGGCTCCACTCACCTACAGTTAACCTTACCATTCTGCACTTTCAAGGTGCCTGCCTCAATTCCCATTACTGACTTTCACTGGTGAGCACATGCCCATGACTAGCCTCTATAACAACAAAAGTACACATTGACAGCCAGGGACCTTGCAGCTACTTGTGGCACCTGAAGTTAGTCCCAGTTCCTAGTGCTGGCCCTGGCCATCACCACTGCACATGTGTCTGCATCCAGCCTTTGCAAATGGCCCTGCATCCAAACATGTGCATACCACTGGATCCAGCCACCACCATCACCAAGCATAGTTCTTAGCATTTAAATACCTCAACACACCTTGCAGCCACTGTGGACTGCCCACAGCTCTCATCAATGATCATGCAGTTGCTGATGTCATGGGCCACAGCTGCACCAGCTGATGAGACACTATGTTCCCCCTCAATCCAGAGGCACTACATGCCCTCACACTTGGCACCTTCTATCACTAGATCTAGGATCACAGCATGTTCCAGCATGCCTCTGCCTGAAGGTGAAGGTCTTTCTCTACCAAAGTCAGTTTATAAAGCCTAGAAGAGGTGACTGCTTCTTGAAATGCACAGATACCTACAAAGGCTAGAGGCATCATAAAGAATCAGGGAAACAAGACATCACTACAGGAACACAATAAACTTCCAGTAATGGACTCCGAAGATGTGAGAGTCACAAAATGCCTAACAAAGAATTCAAAATAATTATTCAAAAGGTACTCATAGAGCTACAAGAAAACACGGATAAATAATTTAATGAAATAAGGAAGACAATACAAGCATGAAATAAGTTCCACAAAAAGATAGAAAACATAAGAAAGAACCAAACAGAAATTTCTGAGCTAAAGAATACAATGACTGAAATAAAGATTTCAACAGAGAGCTTTAACAACAGCCTAGACCAAGCAGTAGATAGAATTCACTAACTCTAACACAGATCACTTGAAATTATCTAGTCAGAGAACAAATTTTTAAAAAATGGAGAATGAAGAAAGTGTATGGGACTTATGGGACACCATTAAGAGAGGCAATCTATACATTATGAGAGGCTAAGGAGGAGAAAGAGGCAGACAGCTTATTTAAAAAAATAATGTCTGGAGAGATTTGGACATCCAAGTTTATGAAGTTCACAGGTCCACAAATAAATTCAACTGAAGGAGATCTTCTCCAATGTGCATTATATAAAACAGCCAAAAAAGTCAAAGACAAAGAGAGAATTTTGAAAGCAGCAGTAGAAAATAAGCTATCACTTACAAAGGAACCCCATACAACTTAACAGATTTCTTAGCAGAAACCTTACAGGCCAGGTGAGAGTAGGTTGTTATATTCAAAGTGCTAAAAGGAAAAAATTGCTAAACAAGAATATTCTGTCTGGCAAAGTTATCCAGAAATGAGGGGGAGATAAACAAACAAAAGCTGAGGGATTTCATCACCACTACAACTTTCTTACAGGAAATGCTGAAAGGAATTTTTCCAGTTGAAATAAAAGGATACTAATTAGTGTCATGATAACCTATAAAAATATAAAACACAATGGCAAATACAAATATATAGTCAAATTCAGAATACTCTAATACTGTAATATGGCGGTATGTTAATCACTTAACTCTAGTACAAAGGTTGAAGGACAGAAGTACTAAAAATAACTATGGTTACAATAATTTGGTAATAAATATATAATATAAAAAGATGTACATTGTGGCATCAAAAACATAAAATGTTGGGGGGGCAGTAAAAGGGTAGAGTTTTTATATGCAATTGAGGTTAAATTGTTATATCAGCTTAAAATAAATTGTTTTATCTATAAGACGTTTTCTGTAAGCCTCATGTTAACCACAAAGCAAAACCCTGCAGTAGATGTACAAAAGATAGAGCAGGGAATCAAGGCATACCACTGTAGAAAATCAACAATTCACAAAGGCAGGCAAAAAGAGAGGGAGAAACAGCCAGAAAACAATAAAATAACATTAGTGGTAAGCCCTTACCTATCAATCATTACTCTAAATATAAAGGGATTAAATTCTCCATCAAAATGCATACAGTGGCAGAATAGATTAAAAAACAAAACAAACAACAACAAAAAAACAATATCCAACTATATGCTGCCTACAAGAGACTTGTATCAGCTTTAAGGACATACGGGCTCAAAGTGAAGGGATGAGAAAAAATATTTCATGCAAATGGAAACCAAAAGAGAGCAGAGGTACTATACCTATATCAGATAAAATAGATGTTAAGCCAAAAACAATGAGACAGTCATTATGTATAATAAATGGGTCAATTAATCAAGAACTAAGGGTTGCAGAATTACAATATTAATTGAATTTACAGTCCAGCCATGTGAAAATTGGGGCACTGATAGGGAAGAAAGGGGATGCTGAAATTTGGAATGGGGACATTTAATTGGATTAGGAAACTGATAATGGTAAACTCCTGAGTCAAACTCTGAGCCTCTTTGCCAATGGAAGCAGTTTATCCACCTGTATTTGTAGAAACTAACCTTTCTTAATTGAAAACCTTCTAATAATCTCATCTGGGACAATTACTTTGCAAAGGGATGCACATTTTCCTCAAGACTCACCGCAACCACTTCTTACTTCTAGTAGACTCATAACTAAAATCAGATCTTAAAATGTGCCAGCAGGGAAAATGCAAAGTCTGACCAGGAGGTAATATTGTTTTTATAGCAAAAGATTTTCGCTATTTGCCTTATACAGTGGCAGAAACCCAGGGAATATGTGTGAGACAATATTATAAGAGAGTTAAAGAGCACAGAATATAATACTGAGTTAATTATAATTTCTTGATATGGATACACTTATCAGAAAATAAGGATTTAATGTGTTAATATCTACATGTGGAAGTGACACTAACCATTTACTTGGTAAGTTCACTGAAATTTTGACTCCACAGTGGCCTATGTTTAATTGAGATACCAGAAATTCCCTGACATAATGTAAGAAGAAATCCAAAGGCTTAGGTAAGATAGGCATGTTGTAGTAGATTTATCACATATAACCTACATTCCCCCGCGCCCCCACCACCAAGTATCTGTCTAGAGAACTCTGGGGACATCCCTTTACTAAGGCATTGAAAGATACGGTAGAGAGTAGGAGTACTTACATCCTTGAAAAGCTCTATGGTAGCTTTCTTCCATAGACTAGGCATGATAGGATGACCCAAAGTAGCAGAGGCCAAATGCCAGTGGTGGGTACATTTACCATAAAAAGAAGTAGAGATATAGTGGTAATCAGATGCTTTGACCTTTAGTGATCTTTATTATTAAATGATTATGGTGGCCCTAGGAATAAAGTAGATAGTCAGACTACTAAAATGTTGATCATCTACACACAGTATTAATATATGGTGGCCAAAAATATGACTTTAGTCACTATAGTGGAGAGTTCTGACTTCCCACCCAGTTTCCAGACCTAAGCCCCTTAAATGAAAAGAAGGCTAGATTCTCTTAAGGAAGCACTGCCATTAGTATATACTGAAAATCTTCCTCTAAGTCTTCTCCACAGGGACCTGTGGCCATTTCCTAATGACTGTGTGTTAAGGAAAAAGAAATATCTAGATTTTTCTAAACACTGACACTAAAATGCTATTAATTCTTGGGGACCCAAAAAAGACTGCAGTCTTACAGTTTAAGTGGGGGCTTGAGGTAAACAGGTGAGAGTCTTAACTCAAGTTTGAATCACAGTAAGCTGAGTAGGTCCATAGAACCACTCTGGTAATTTCATCAGTTCCTGGATATATAACTAGTTACCTGGTAACTGGCAGAATTTCCATATTGGCTCTCTGATCCTGGAATAAGCACCATTATAATATGAAGGGACAAGTCAAAGTCCTTAAGAACCTCCCTCTCCCACATACACACATACCAGGAGATTAAACAAAAATTATTGCTTTCCTGTAGTGGCTTAATGGGGGATTACAGAGATTAGTGACACCAATAAAGATCTGAAAGAAGCAGGAGTGATGAAACCTATCTCAAGCTAATTTAACTTGCCTGTTTGGCCTATGAAGGACTGGATAATTACAAATGACTGTATTATTACAAATAACTGGAGAATGACTGATTATTACAAATTTAATCAGGTGATACCTCCAATTACAGCTGTTCTTCCATATGTAGTATCTTTACTAGAGCAAAACAACATAGCCCTTGCAACCAAGTATGCAATTATTGACCTAACGAATGTTTATTTCTCCATACAAATTGTCAAGAAACACCAGAAGCAAGTTGCTTTTACTCAGCAGGGCCAACAACATAACTTCACAGTCTTGTCCCAGGGTTCCATCAATTCTCTTGCTCTTCGTCATGGTCCAGAGATACTGAGCATCTTGATCTTCCACTCAACATTGAGTTGGTCTGGTACATTGATGGCATTATGTTGATTGAATCTGGGGACCAAGAAGTGACAAGTGGGAAAAAAGTAAGAGCTATCAGAATCAAGTATAATTTATGCTTGTAAATTTTGAATTGTGAAATTGTTTTAAATTTATCGCTTATTTGTATAAAACAAATTATCATCAATAATGACTACAATAACAATAACAATAATGATCGTTGTTAAACTGTCCCGTTCAAGAATTACATGCAGTCATTTCAATCACAAAACCCTACATAAAAAAGTTACATTTATAGAAATAATCTCAGGTTTTTCATTAAAAATTTGAGAATAATTTGGAAGCTTACATAAATTTAATATTTATCATCTTTTTATCTTATTTTTCTCATTATAATTAATCATATTAAGAAAATATTTTTTTCACCGAGCCACATGTAGTTGCCTCCAAATCCGCTTTAATTTATTCCAGTATGCTGTACAAATATCATTTCTATGGATATCATGATATGAAAAAAGGTTGAGAACCATTGCTTCCAATTTTAGACCAGGATTCTTAACCTTGCCTTCCCCCTCGCCCAATGGATTTCAGTGAAATATGTAATTGTATCTTTCAGAGAGAAGGTTAATAGTTCTCATCAGGTTCTCAAAGCTTAAGAGCCAGTTGATCTCAGAAATTTGAAAAGTTCCTTTATAATTTCACCCCTGAAGAAATGATGATACAAGTTAAGGGTTAAATAAACTCCAAGGGCACAAGTAGGCCTCTATTATCACAGGTGGGAGAAAAAAGGTGCTATAAATGTAACTAGGAGGACTTTTATCTCTGGCTAACTCTCTTGGGAATCCTGCTCTTAGCCTCTTTCTCCTCAAATTCATCTAGCATAGTAAGAAGATTCTAGGATTTTCTCTCTATTTTAAGTAGATACCTCCTCCCTCTGATCACCAGAAGACCAAGTAGGAACCAGAGTGGAGCCCAGAAAGAGGTAGGTATAAATGGGGCAGAGGATATAGATTTCAAATGTTCACATGACATCCAACTCAGTTCACAAAGTAGCTATATATTAGGATCTGCAGTCAAAGCCAGAAAACCAACATCATAAAGCATACATTTGCCCAGAACTTCTCTTCTGTGTTTTTAAAGCACTTTGTACATATCTAGACTTCTATATACGTATCTCCTTTGGAGCCTAGCAGAGGTGGCTGAAGCCACAGTACCACTAAACCTTATTGTAATTTTTTGATGTGGTTTTCCCTCCTAACAAGCTATAATCCCCTAAAAGGTAAATAGATTCTTATATTGTTCTTAAAAGTGTCTAGTATATAATACACACTAAATATTTTCTCAATTAATGGTGAATAAATTAATGAACATGTACCAAAAATTTCTAAATCTTAGTTTCTTTAAAAGGTTATATACCAGGAAGAGATATTCCCCCTGTAAATTAACAAACTAACTTCCTGATACAAACTTAAAGTAAATTTGGGTACCTTATAATCCCAGTTTTGACCAGGATTTCATTACCTCAGATATGCTGAATGAAGGTGTTCTATACTCACCTACAGATGAGACATGTCTTGACCACTAATCTACTTTTATTATTAAAAAAAGGTATGAATCACATCTTTTAGTTCTTTTTATTCCCTTTTTGCTTGATACTATTTTCTCCACATAGGGTATACTCAGCAGAAGCTGACTGAACTTGGAAGAAACTTTAGAGAATAACGATCTTACTCACATACAAGGCTTTACAGTTTATCCTGCACTGTATCATGCATTATCTCATTTGATTGCAAGAATCCTTAGTTAGGGCTCCATTGTAGAGATGAAGAAACTAAAATTCAAGAAGTTTAAATGGACCTCGAGATAATCATGCTAAGCAAAATAAGCCAGACAGAAAAAGTTGAAAATCATATAATATCACTTATATATGGGATATAAACCTAAAAGCAACAAATGAACAGGACAAACTAACAGAGACTCATGGACATGGACTATAGACTAGTGGTTACCAGAGGGTAGGGGTTGGGAGAGGAGGGGGGAGGTAAACAGGATAAAGGGAGTCAAATATAGAGGGGTAGGGGGAAGTTGAAGGGGGTAAAGAGGATCAACTATATGGTAGCTGAAGGAAACTGGACTTTGGGTGGTAATCACACAATAGAATATATAGATGTCAAATTATAATGTACACCTGAAAATTATATAATTGTATTAACCAATGTTATCCCAATAAACTTAATTTTTAAAAAAGATATTCAGTACACACACACACACACACACACACACGAAGTTTAAGCCACTTGCTTAAGGTTTTAGAGCTGGAACTAAAAGCTAGGTCTTCTGATTTCTATAGCTGAGCTCTTTCCTACTGTAAAATAAATGGAATTGTCATCTTCCAAAAGAATTTAAGATTTTATTGCTACAACACTTTGTAGCAATGTAAATACTAAAGTACATCACTAAGACGTATTGATTTGAATACATTTTCTAGAATGATACTTTGGTTTATAAATCACGTTTCATTTATTTGAGTTCATTCAGCTTTCGGCTATGTATATTTCTTGGCTATGCATATACTTCCTGATTGGTCTCCTAAGCTTTGGTTCAAAGTTCTTCTGAACTTTATCTACTCTTTTCTTGTTTACCACGTGGCTATGGGAAAAACACAGTCAAGACTGTTTAACTTGTGAACCATATATCTTTAAATCTGTCTCGCAGGCACTCTTGACCACCACCAGGGGGCAAAAGCCTACAAGCTGGCTTCTCCGTAATACATTTCTACATAGGACTGTACTGTACAGGGACCCTCTCTGTGTCTGATTCTTGATGAAACCTCCTTGCTAATTATTTCAACCACAGGGCCCCAGGGAGAGAACAAAGGCTCAGCACAGAGGGCTCTAGTGGCACTTACTCATACAGAAGCCAGAAAGAGGTCATGACAGCTCTGTCAGTTTAAAAGCAGCAATGAGATCCAAGAGTTTGAGTGACAGAAGGTGGGCTTTAATAATTGCAAACTCCTGAATGTGTATTTTCTACAGCTTTGGTGTGTATGGTAGCATTTACTAGCTTATCCACTCAAATTGAGAAATAGCTTTGTCAGTTCTCTTTCTCAGTGTAATCAATGGTGTTTACATAGTGTGATCTTTTCCCCTTTTTAATCTTGATTTTTCATTACCTTCGTGGCTTATATTCTGCTGACGGTGTCATTTAAAAAATTATTCCTTATTATAAGAATATTTAATCTACATTTCATGCATATCTATGAAGTAATGAAATCTAAAGACAAAGAGAAGAAACCTCAAGAAGCAAATCCTTTCTAAGAGAATTTCTTCCCAGCAGGAAGCAAGTGGGAGGTAAATAGTAGGTTGGACTCTTACAACTCTGTGATCCCAGCTTTCTCGGCCTCCCAAGCTCGCTCACCCTCTCTTCACCTCAGGAATAATGAATGAGTCCTTAGGGGCCAGGGTAATAGAGGAAGCATGAGGCTACCATTAGGCTTCCTAAAGTATAAAATTAAAAATCTTTCTTCCAAAAAGTCTCATCACAAAACATGGACTCTGAGTCTGAAGGGTGGGAAAACTCAGAAGAAGCCTCCGAGAGCCGGGTCAAGGGGGATAAAACTGGTCGCGACCAGAGCGTACTAGCTCAGTTACTCCCACCCACGCTCAGGGAAAGCGTTTGAACCGCTGCGGAGCCCTCTCCCAGAAAACGAGTTTGCGTCAGGTTTTCACCTCGGCTTCTTTTCACTAAGGTTGGTTAAGCTGTGCGCCCCACCTCACAAAATGGTTGTCTCGGAGGAGTGGGCTCTCCAGTGGCCCTAGTCTCGGAAGCCCTCACCTCACCCCACTCCCCAGGCCCCTGCGGGCAAACGGCGCGATTCCTGCGTGGAGGAAACGGGGAGGGGGCGGCGTCCTGAGGCGCACACTCACGGCCAGCTTCCGGCAACTCAAGGGTTACGGCGAGGCGGTGGCGCGCGCCGAGGGGAGAGGCGGTTGCTGACAGGTGGCGCCTGCGCACTGGGAGCGCTCATTGTGCCCCGCAGCTGCCGAACCGCCCGCCAGCCCGCCCGCCCGCCAGCCCGCCAGCCGCCCGTTCGGCGCGTCAGTCTGCGAGAGTCCAGTGGTGGGTGCGGAGCCTGCAGCCGTTCCCGTGGCCTCCTCCTATTCCCCGTTCCCCTCACCTCTACCCCTACACTCCTTTCCCCATTCCGGCTCCGTCACCCTCCCGTCCCCCACACTCAGGACAAGAATGCCCTGCCCGGAACAACCCAGCAGCGCCTAGATGGCTTTGGTCACGGTCCAGCGGTCGCCTACCCCCAGCACCACCTCCAGCCCCTGTGCCTCGGTGAGTCCCTCTTGGCGGCCGCTCCGCTCGCTTCTGTCACTGCGGCTCGGCTTTGCCTCAGCGGGTCCCGCCGAGCGCCAGTGCGCACGCGCCGCGCCGCTTCCCAGGCCTTGGCACTCGGCTGCCGCGAACCCCCCACACTCCCCATCTTAGAGACGAGCTGCCGGACGTTGATTTTTGCCCCCATCACTCTGTGCACCTAGCTCTCACAATCCTCGCCCGAATCTCCCTGTGGCATGCTTGCCTATGGCTTGAGCACTTCCTTTCGGGAATGAGTCATTCTGGCTTTTCTTCCTCCCCCTTCCTTTACCCTCTTCTTCTGCTGCAGGGAGAGGACCATGGGACAACTGCGTTGCCCCTTATACCCACCCACGTCCCCTCACCCACACCCATTTCATGGACCCGTTCAATATTCGCATACTGCACGCCCTTCTTCAGGTTCTCCGTGGTGTGTGTCTTCCCTCTAGTCACTTGCTGTCTTTCTTGTGATCTGTACTGTTCAGGCTTCGTTGGACAGCTGAACGATAGTTACTCCTTGGTTTCTTCCCTCCTCCCCTCCCCCAAAGTGTAGTTGTGATTTCTGCTTCTTGGACCTCTTACCTTTCCTCTACGGGGTCCCGAAGCATCTGGCGCTGCTTGATGACCAGTGCCAATTCATTTACATCTTACAGACATTTATGCCTTACACTCATTGCTCATGATCGTTCTTGTTCTTGGGTTGTATTTGTTTGGCTCGTTAGTTCAGATGCCTATGCCAGTGAAGCATGCTTCCAGCGGGAAAACACCCAGTAACCAGCCTTTTCCTGCAGGGCCCTTCTTTGCCTTTGCTCCTAGCCCCACCCCCACTCCTTTACACTCCATTCTTTTAGGCTTTATTTTAGAAACTATTTATTTTTCAAAATAAAATATTGCACCAGAAGGGCGGAATGGGATCTTTAAAAAAATCCAGATGTTTTAGAAATAAACCGAATGAAAATATGGGCAATTGGAAAAACCACTTTAACTTTCTATAGAATTGTAATTTTTAAAACAGTGTTGGTGGATTTTAGTAGTTTCAAGTTGCAAAAAGGTATTCAATAAACACTGTCACTTTACATTGTAAAAAATTGAGTTACTCTTAATATTCATGTTAACTGAGGTGTGAGCTTTGATATCTTGAAAATATACTGGCTCGTAATTTCAACAGTTTCCTGAATTTCAAAATTTTGTTGTGTACAGTGGTGGTTTCTTCTTTTTGTTTTCTGAGCTTTCTTTTGCATTTTGACCAAATTGACAAATATATCCTAAGTGATTATATTTCAAAGGTTAACTTACCTTGTGTTGTTCCACAGAGCAGAACTAGAGTCTTTGAGTAGAATTTCAGTGAGGCCCAGTTATTATAAGGAAGAATTTTGTAGCAATTGCAAAATAGTCCCCATTGCTGAAATTATTCAAGCAAAGGCTGGAGGACCTTTTGCCTAGGAGGCGATAGAAAGTGTTCCTGTAATGGGGGACTTCTAAAGCTCTTTCCAACTCTTTAGATTCTGTGATTTGAGAATAATTGCACTTCAAAGCTGGGAAACATTTTAAGGTCCTCTAAAGACAAGTATCATAAGGATAGAAATTTAATACACAGTACTTTATTTTTATATGTAGTACTTTATGTTAGTTTTTGGAGAGTCATTAACATACCATTAGACCATCTAATTCACTCCATTAGTAAACTCTTTGAGGGTAGTGGTTACCAGGCATGATTTTGGCTGAGAATGCAACTGAAGGTTAGGGTCATGCAAATAAACTAGAAACCAGAATTATAGTTACATAATTTTCCCTGGGCATTATTGAAAACAGTTTATGCTATAATAATATATGTACATAAAGTTATCATACTGATTTTCTTGAGGTGAATGATTAGTATACAGTAAGACCATATTTACTTAATATGACTTAATTAGCCAAACTTGGTCTTGAGGTATGTTAATAGTCCCTTTTGACATAAGTAATTAAATTGTTCATGTGGTAAGCTCAGTTGTTGAGCTAAAAGACTGATATTTCTACATCTACTTGTTATCCTAGCCTGGTTATTTCAGTTGTTTTTATGTGGCCCAGGGTGCAAAGGAATCCTGGGATTGGTGTATGTGTGAAACAGTCAACATTGTTAGCATGACTGATGAGCCAGTTACCTTTCCCTTTAAAGTGTCTTCCTATTTCACTTCATCCAGAGCTGCGTTCAACTGAGTTATCTCCTGATCCTTGTGTTCCGGTATTTGGCTGCTGTCTGACTTGCATATATTTGCTGTTACATCTTTTGCTGTATGAATAGGTTGAGTTGTTTGTTTTAAAAGAAAGAGCAAAAGAGTCTAGAGAACCACGAGAGGAGAGATTTAATTTTGTGAGGCTGGAAATTTAGATTTTTTTAAATTAATTATTTTAAGCATTTTATTATATTTTTTACTATGGGAAGTGGAACATTTTAATACTGTCAGTTCTTCAGTTTTTTATTAAGGATTAAACAGACCTATTGACCATCTATTAGGTGTGAATGACTATTATAGACACTAAGATGTATAAGAGATATACTCTGTTTATCAGGATCATGTAATCTTGGGAGGGAGGAGGAGAGGATAGGAGGGAGAACAAACATGAGGGGTGAGGGTAGAAAAGGAGAGTGGGGGGAATGATACTATATGTACATGAACAATCAGTTTGTAATGGTCACAACTATTGCCTGAATTCAGACTAAGATAAAGTCATCAATGGCAAAAGTAATAATAACAATCTCTAACATATCTTGGGTCTTCCTCTATGCCAGGCATCATGCTAAGTACTTTACATGGATTAATTCATTTACTACTCACAATATGCCCAAGGGAAGTTGCTATTATCCCCATCTTACAGATGAAGAAACTGAGGCAAAGAGCTATTATGAATGTGCCCAGCGACACTTAGCTGTTGAAGCTGTAATTCATACCCAGATGTGTCTAATTTAGAATCTGCCATCTTTTTCCTTTGTGGTAGTCGAGGAGAAGTATACATAGTAGGTGGCTCTTGAACTAGGCCTTGAAGGATAGGTTGAATTTCTATAGATTGAGATGGAAACTGGGAAGTAGAGAGTATTCCAGATGGAGAGAAGCTGTATACACCAAGACTTAGAAGCAGAAAAGTACAAGGCATATCTTAAAGACAAGTAGACCAGTTTGATGAAGGATTTGTTTGGAAAGAGAAGTAAGAAATAAAGGTGAGGAGGCAGCTAGGGCTATACAGGGACTGCTAAACTTAGGAGTTTGAACTTGATAGAGAAGATAATGGAAAGTCCTCAAAGGTTTTTGAGCAGATATGATCACAATGATGTTTCAAGAAAATTGATCTAGCAGCTGTGGGCCAGAGGGATTTGAGAGGGAGAGAGCAGCCATGAATGGAGCCAGTTAGAGGTTGTTACAGTCGCCCAGGTGTGAAATAATCAAGGCTTGACCTGGGAATGTGAAGTGAAAATAGGAAAAAAGGACAGATGTGAGGGATTATGGAGAAGACACAAAGGACCTAGGGACTGATTAGGTATAGGGGAGGAAGAGTCAGAGATGCCAACTTTTGGAACGTATTGTTCTTCCTACATAAAGCTGTTTCCTAATTAATTGGGGGACAATTTTAAGAATTATCTCTTTTCCTCTATTCTTTCTGGTGTGAATTTTCTGAATGGAGACCTATGTTAATCTTTCTGGTGTGAATTTTCTGAATGGAGACCTATGTCATATAGACACAGTGAACTACCACAAAAATCTTTTGCTTTTGTGTAGTGCTTTATACTTTTTAGAGTATTTTAGTGATCATGATCTAGAGCATTCTAGAGCAGCCTCTAAGTTATGCAAGACAGGTACCAAAGTTAAAGGACTTACTAAAGGTTACAAAACAGGTTGGTGTAAAAACCTGAACTAGAACTGAGGTCTTTGGCTCCTGGTCCACATCTCTTTCCATGGTGTGATAAGAGAAACAGCATATAAATTTCTAATCCTGAGAACTTGACTGCCAGCCTAGTAAAGGAACCAAGACTTTAGATATAATCAAGAACTTTCTCTTTGAAGTTCATTTATATTTCTACAGAACAGAATATCCAAGTCTGTGCAAATCATTTTTAGGTGATACCGTATTTGAAGCCTATTATCTCTTAGTTTACACAGATTTCTTCTAAACTTGGATATTTAGTTTCTTTACTCTTAGAAGATTATTACCAACAGCAAAATTGGAATGGAACATAGCAGGTGCAGCTAAAGGCAGGTACCCTTATAGCTCTGGAAAATGATAGCTGATGATTTTACAGAAAGGGAAGAGGAAGAAGGCTTGTAAATAGTTGGCCTAAAGAAAAAATTTAGCAGTTATAGACTGTATAAGGACAGATACCCACGTAAAACCCAGTACTCCCTCAGAACTACTATTATATGGTCATAATGATAACCCGGAATTATCGTAAGAAGGCTTAATCTTGTTTTGTCTTGATTAAAACAGTCAAGCTTGAGTGAAGTATATTATTAGATAGATGTTCATCCAAGCTTCACCAGTTTTGATGTTTAAGATGCACGTTTTAATTAATTGGAAAAATTATTTACATATATGTCTTATTTCCTGATAATGATGGATAAATAAGATGTTATTGAGTTATATATATTCAAATATGACCACACCTCTCTCCCTTGGCAGAAAAAATAAACGCATAGCAAATATGAAATTGATTTATATGAAGTATAAATACGCAAAAGTGATGCTTTTTAATTTTTTAAGACAGCTCTGGAAACTTTCTTAAACTGTAGAGTTAATACATGGCCATTGTAGGAAATTTGGAAAATACAGAGAAGCACAAAAAAGATAATAAAAGATATATGCCATATAGCTGTGTGGGTATTTTACATAGCTGAAATGCTGATGTATATATAATTTTACATTTTTAAGTGTGATATATATCATAGATGTATTGCCATATCACTTAAATGGCTGCATTGAGTAAGTTATATTATAACTCATTCTGATCATTCCATTATTGGTGAACATCTAGGTGTTTTCCAACTTTTTTTTTTTTTTTGCCATTATAAATTACATTGCAGTGAACATCATTGGGAATAAATATTCAACTGCATTTTGGAACATTTATTAAGAAACATTTATTTCAACAAATAAAATTACTGTATTACAGTGTACAAACAATTTTAAAACTCCTATTACATATTTATACTTTCTAGAAAGGCTGTTCCAATTAACATTTATTTCAGTCAGCATAGTGTAAGAATGCTTGTTTCTCCTAGCCTTAATAACACTGTATATTCTCGTTTCATATTTAATCATTAGTAATTTTCGAGGATAAAGATAGTTGATTTGATATGTATTTTATTATTAGGTCAAGTATTTTTCAGATGTTAGGCATTTCTATTAATT